CCAGCCCGCGTCCGTGGACAGGGTCAGGAGCGCTACTTCCTGCTAGTGGTTGACGACTACTCGCGTTACACCACAGTCTTCCCCTTGCGCAGCAAGGATGAGGTCACTCAGGTGTTGATCGACTGGATCCGCGCAGCTCGTCTTCAGCTTCGGAGAAGCTTTGGCTCTGACTTCCCTGTCTTGCGTCTGCACTCGGACAGAGGCGGAGAGTTCTCCTCGGCCCTCCTGAGTACCTACTGTCGTGTGCGAGGCATCCGTCAGACCTTCACGCTTCCGGACTCACCACAGCAGAATGGGATCGCTGAGCGCCGCATTGGCATGGTCATGGACGTCGCTCGTACGTCCATGATGCATGCGGCTGCTCCCCATTTTCTGTGGCCGTTTGCGGTCAGGTACGCTGCGCACCAGATCAACCTCCACCCCAGGGTCTCTCGACCGGAGACCTCCCCAGCTCTGTTGTGGACGGGGAAGGTTGGCGATGCGTCGGCGTTCCGGGTCTGGGGATCTCGGGCGTTTGTTCGCGACCTGTCTGCGGACAAGCTGTCCCCTCGTGCTTCTCCCTGCGTCTTCCTCGGGTTCCCCCCCGACGCCCCTGGGTGGCAGTTTTACCACCCCACCTCTCGACGTGTTCTGTCCTCCCAGGACGTCACGTTCGACGAGTCGGTACCCTACTACCGCCTCTTCCCCTACCGCACTCCGTCCCTCCCCCCACCCCCCCTCTTCTTGGTACCAGGTCCCCCCCCAGTAGTCCCCCTCCCCCCTCAGGGTCCTGCCCCTTCAGGTGTGTCTCAGGTAGACGCGGTCGAGCCTGTCGAGGTCACTGGTGACTCCGGTGCTGCTGCGGGAGCTGAGCCTGGGGGTGCGGAGTCTAGGGGTGCTGAGCCTGGGAGTGCGGAGCCTGGGGGTGCGGAGTCTGGGGGTGCTGGGCCTGGGGGTGCTGAGCCTGGGGGTGCTGAGCCTGGGGGTGCTGTGCCTGGGGGTGCTGTGTCTGGGGGTACTGAGCCTGGGGGTGCTGAGCCGGGAGGTGCCGAGCCTGGAGGTGCTGTGCCTGGGGGTGCTTCGTCTCACCGGGAGCCGCTCTCTCCACAGGAGCTGCGTGAGTGGTTTGCCCGGCGCTGGAGGCGTGCCGCTGGTGCTGGTGGTTCTTCGGCTGCGGAGGGCGCTGCTGCCACGCGACCTGGCGGTGCTCGTCCTGTGGGTGCTGGAGCTGCTGGGTCTGAGTGTTCTCCTGGAGCTGGTCCTGCTGAGGACGTTGGCGCTGAGCCTGCGGTTGGTGGTCCGACTGACGGTGCTCCTGGTGCTGCTGCTGGAGGTTCTGGAGCTTCTGGTGGTTCTGCTGGAGGTGCTGCTGGAGTGGGTGCTCCTGCCGGGGGTGCTGGTGCTGTTCCTGCTGTTTCTCGCGTCGCCGCGCGGCCTCGACCGTACTTCGTTCCGCTCCTGCAGCAGGTTCTTGGTCTTACACCTCCTCCTCCTTCCTTAGAGGGTCCGCAGCCTGTCCGGTCACAGCCACAGCTTCAGCCTGCCTCCCCTTTGCCTGCTCCTTCTCCCTACGCTGGTCCGACTGGAGGTCTTACTGAGCGTCGTGAGCCTGCGTCTCGTCCTGCGTCGCCTGTTCGTACTGAGCGCGCTAGTGGTCGCGGGTCGCGTCAGCGCCCTCCTCCTGTCCCTGGCACGCACCGGATGTCACTGCGTCCGTCCACTGCTCCTCTGCGTGCCCCTTTGCCTTCTCCTCCTGCTTCCTCTCTTCCTGCTCTTGCCGACCCGGAGTCGGACTCTCTTCGTGCTGCCAGTCCTACTGTCACGCGTCTCCTTGCTACTGCTGTCACTGACCCTTCCTTCGAGTCGTCTACTGCGTCTGCCCTTGTCACTGAGCTTGTCGACTTTGCTGCGCGCTGTCGTCTAGACTACGCTGCTCGTCTTGTCGCTGAGTCTGAGTCCGCCTGTCCTCCGTCCGTCGGGGGTGAGTGTGCCCTTGGCACGGACGTCCTAGAGGACAGGCAGGAGGAGTTCCAGTGTCTAGCCGCTGCTTCACCTCGTCTCGCGTCTGTACTGCTAGCCCCTGAGGGAGACCCGGATGCACTAGACATCCCGACTCCGCGTTCTTACGCGGAGGCCGTAGAGGGTCCCTACTCCTCTCAGTGGCAGGCAGCTATGGATGCAGAGATGGCTTCCTGGAAGTCCACAGGCACCTACGTTGACGCGGTTCCCCCTCCTGGGGCGAACATCGTCAGTGGCATGTGGATCTTCAGGGTGAAGCGGCCGCCGGGCTCGCCGCCTGTCTTCAAGGCGCGTTATGTGGCTCGTGGCTTCAGTCAGCGGCAGGGAGTTGACTACTTTCAGACCTTCTCTCCCACCCCGAAGATGACCACTCTTCGGGTGCTGCTGCACATTGCCGCTCAGCGCGACTACGAGCTTCACTCTCTCGACTTCAGCACTGCGTTCCTGCAGGGTAGCCTGCACGAGGAGATCTGGCTGCGCCGTCCGCCTGGCTTCACTGGGACTTTCCCTCCTGGCACCCAGTGGAGCCTCCGACGGCCAGTCTACGGTCTCCGCCAGGCACCGCGTGAGTGGCACGACACACTGAGGACTACGCTTGCGGCTCTTGGGTTTGCTCCTTCTACTGCTGACCCGTCGCTGTTTCTTCGCACCGACACTTCCCTGCCGCCGTTCTACATCCTCGTGTACGTCGACGACTTGGTCTTTGCCACAGCGGACACTGCTGGACTCGCCTACGTGAAGTCCGAGCTGCTGAAGAGACACACGTGCACAGACCTTGGTGAACTGCGCAGCTACCTTGGCTTGCAGATCACTCGGGACAGAGCACGCCGCACCATTACCCTGACTCAGTCACACATGGTGCAGCAGGTCCTTCAGCGCTTCGGCTTCACGTACTCCTCGCCTCAGGCCACTCCTCTGCCTACTCGCCACTCACTCTCAGCTCTGCCTTCGGATGAGTCCGTAGAGTCGAGTGGTCCGTATGCAGAGCTTGTTGGCTGCCTCATGTACCTGATGACCTGCACTCGACCTGACCTTGCATACCCTCTGAGCATCCTTGCACGCTATGTTGCTCCTGGGAGACACCGACCAGAGCACATGGCTGCAGCGAAGAGGGTATTGCGCTACCTGTGCAGTACGTCGGGCATGGGGCTAGTGCTTGGAGGGCGGAGTCCAGTGGTCCTTACTGGGCACGCAGACGCTTCTTGGGCTGACGACCAGGCTACGTAGCGGTCGTCACAGGGTTACACCTTCAGCCTTGGTTCCGGCTCTGTCTCGTGGCGGTCTACTCGCTCGTCTTCGGTTCTCGGCTCCAGTTGTGAGGCTGAGATCTAGGCCGGGGCCATGGCTGCACAGGAGCTTCGCTGGCTCACCTACCTGCTGACTGACCTTGGAGAGCTGCCTCGTTCTCCTCCAGTGCTGTACGTAGACAACAAGGCCATGTTGGCCTTGTGTCGAGAGCAGCGCTTGGAGCACAGAACGAAGCACATTGCTCTCCGCTACTTCCTTGCTCGTGAGCTGCAGCAGCGTGGTCAGTTGCGACTTGCTTACGTGGCCTCTGAGGCCAACACTGCTGATGTGTTCACCAAGGCACTTGCGCCTTGCGACCATCAGCGCTTTTGTACCCAGCTGGGTCTTGTACCTGTCTTGCCTCACTTGCTCTCTTCTTGACTTTACTTGTACTTTGACATATATATACCTGCTCTTGCTTGTCTAGTTTTATATATATGTCTTTACTCCTGCATGTGAACTGGCCTCTGGCCTTGCTCTTGTGCTCGGACTGTGTGGTGACTTTGTGATCCACCCTGAGCTTGTTTTGCTTTGCTTGACTGGTCTTGTGACCCCTTGTTCTCCCCCACTTTGCCTATGGGGGTGTGTCAGATTATTATAGCTGATGCATGTTTGTAGGCCATAGTGGGGTAGCACATATGGGGTACAGTTTGCTAGGGTTGTATTTGTATCCAACTCTGACTTAGTCAATTCATTCCTCTGCTCATAGTTTCACACTTCGGTGTAGGTTGCCTCGCTTCTGGTGCAATGTTTCGACACTGCTGAAGCGTTTAAGTTCCATTGTTTCCAACACACGTTGGGCACGACTGATGCTAACGAGCGCATGGTCGGTGGTTGGCTGGTCGGTGCGTACGCGTGTCAAGGGAAAACCAGCCCCCACCCCCCTACGCCCCCCCCCCCCACCCCCCCCCCCCCCCCCTCCTCTTCCCCCCACCCCAGCACCCCCCCCTCCAACATTCGCATCAGGGCAATCCTAGATAATCATCCTGACTCTACAGGGCAAAACAGTACGGCAATCCTGAAAATTCAGGGCATATCAGGTCAGGGAGCAACATACTGAGACCACAGGGTACACATGAGCAGCATTCTGAAATTACAGGGCATATTTAAAACTTCATCCTGAAATCAGGGTAATCAGGATGTTTTGCCCTGATATCGTGGGCCCTGTTCCCTACCACTCACTATATTATCCTTTTGCATCGATGACAAAAAATGAAATGAATGATGGCATGCCATAGAAAATATACGGTACCTGCCACTGCAACCTAAGCCACGAGCTTTAAAAAGACCACTGCTTTCATAATACTCTCTAAGCCACGCGCCGGAAGGACACGTTTAACTTCTATCAAGCCTTTGCATAAACCAGAAGTCCACCCACCCACACCACATTACCGCAAGTCAATCCGTCACCTCCTTTCCACCCATGGGATAAGCCAGTGTCCCCTGGATGTACTCTCCTGTATAGGTGCCTGATTTCGCCACATTATTCCCAATATGTGGGATTATTCAGGGTCCCTTGGGTGCTATTCCTCATGCCACGTCAGCATCATCATCATTGTCAGGGATACTCTGACCAATTACCTGCGCCCGGCTGACATCAGCAACTCCAGATAGGATTTGATCCACAAAGGATGATCCTGCCCTTGCTGCTCGCGATTGCTGCTGCTGCTGCAAGGAAGAGCGATGATGATACTGTTCTCTGCTGCTGCTGGCCCCTACTCTTCCTCCCAAGCCTCCTGCTCCCGCCATCCCGGGCCTCGCACTGACGCCCGGAGGACGCGCAGCCCGGACCAACGGCACAGGTTCGGTGGACACTTGCTTTCTGCCTGCACTACTCCTCTCCAGCCCAGCCCCACCCCCCCAGTCCAAACCACTCTCCCTTTCCATTCTCCCTAATCCTCCCCCACCCCCTCCCCCTCTCTCTCCCCATCCTCCCCCCCCACCCCCTCTCTTCCCCCCAACCACGCCCCCCCAGTCAAGCCCCCGATCCCCAGGGGAGCTGGCCCGGTGGGCTCTTTTGGACTGTAGCAGGCTGCCAGCTGGCATCTCCGCTGCTGCTGCTTCCCTCTGCCGCTTGCGACTCTCTGCTGCTGACAATGGTGGTGGTGGTGCTGCTGCTGGCGTTCTTGTTGCTGCAGCACCAGCAGCACCAGCGGAATCAGCAGCCGCACCAGCAGTAGCACCAGCAACAGTGGCTTTGCTTTTCTCCACCAGATTAGCCCACTTGCAAGGAGCATCACGGGGCAACGAGCCTCGATGCTGTTGCTGTTGGTGCCCCTGCTGCTGCTGCTGCTTGTGCTGCTGCTGATTGTGCTGCTGCTGCTGCTGCTGCTGCTGCTGCTCTCTCCCCCTGTCCCTTGAACCTGATCTACTCCTATCCCCCATTCTCTCTTTCTCCCTATCCCGTTCCTTCTCCCTTACCCTCTCTCTTTCCTTCTCCCTTACCTTCTCATGCTCGCTCGCCTGATCCCTATCGCGTTCCCTCACCTTCTCCCCTCCTCTCCCCTCTCTCATCCTCATCTCCCTCCTCCGTCTCTCAGCCTCCCTCTTCACCCCACTCAATCCGTGCCTCCTATCCCCTTCCCTCTTCACACACCACATAAAAAACCCCTTCTCACCGTTCTGAACCCACACGTTCGTCCTCAGCTCCTTTACCACCTCTGGAATGTCAAACACTGGTCTCTCTTTGCTCCCTCTTTCCCTTTCTCTGTCCCTTTCCCTCTGCATTTCCCTGTCTCTTACCCTGCCCCTATCTCTATCCCTATCCCTATCCCTATCTCTATTCCTATCACTGTCCCTATCCCTGTCCCTATCCCTGCCCATGTCCCTGTCTCTGTCCTTACCTCTTTCCCGGTCCCTGTCCCGGCTCCTTCCCCTGTCCATACTCCGTCCCCTCTCCTTGTCTAATTCTCTTTCCCTGTCCTTCATCCTATTTCTTTCCACACCTCCCGCTGCTTCCCTTATTACTGCCCCATCCCCATCCCCTCCCTCCCTCTCCCTTTTCCCTAATCCCTCCACATTATGAATCCCCTCAGTAGGCCTCGCCCCATACCCCCTCCGCTCAGCCTCTCTCATCTCTTCTTCTCCCTTCCTTAACACTGCTGCATCCCCTCCCTCCCTCTCCCTTTTCCCCAGCTCCTCCACCTTCTGAATCCCCTCAGTAGGCCTCGCCCCATGCTCCCTCCCCTCAGGCTCTCTCATCTCTCCATCTCCTTCCCTTAGCACTGCTCCATCATCTCTCGCCCTTGGTCCTGCTGCTGCTTCAGGCACCTTCTGCTCACGAGACTCTGGCGCCTCCTCTCTGTTTTCATCCCTGTGCTTCTGGCCTGCTGCTGCACAGATGTCTGCTTTCTCTGCTCCTTCAGGCAGCTTTTGCTCACGAGACTCTAACACCACCTCCTCTCTGCTTCCATCTTTGTGCTTCGAGCCTACTGCCTCATGCATGTGTGCCTTTTCTGCTGCTTGTTCTGGCAAACTCGCTTGTGCCTCTACCCTAGCTACTTTCACCTCTGTTACTTTCACCTCTGCTACTTTCACCTCTGCTACTTTCACCTCTGCTACTTTCACCTCTGCTACTTTCACCTCTGCTACTTTCACCGCTGCTACTTTCACCTCTGCTACTTTCGCCTCTGCTACTGCTTTCGCCTCTGCTGCTGCTTTCGCCTCTGCTGCTACTTTCACCTCTGTTGCTTTTGCCCCTGTTGCTGCTGCATCCCCTGGTGCTTGCATTGGTGCCCTTGCCTCCTTCAGCCTCTCCTCACTTGCTCTTTCATCTCTCACTTTCTCCTCCCTCCCTCTCTGCTCCTTCCTTCTCTCCTCTCTTGTTTTCTCCTCCCTCACTCTCTCTTCTCTTGCCTTATCTTCCTTCACTCTCCCTTCTCTTGCTTTCTCCTCCCTCACTCTCTCCTCTCTAACTTTCTCCTCCCTCACTCTCTCCTCTCTAACTTTCTCCTCCCTCACTCTCTCCTCTCTAACTTTCTCCTCCCTCACTCTCTCCTCTCTAATTTTCTCCTCCCTCACTCTCTCCTCTCTAACTTTCTCCTCCCTCACTTTCTCCTCTCTAAATCTCTCCTCCCTCACTCTCTCCTCCCTTTCATCTTCCCCACTTCTCCCCTCCCCACCTTGTCTCCTCTCCCCTTCCTCGCCACGTCTCCTCCCTCCCTCCTCTCCCCCACCCCTCTCCCTCTCAGGCAAAAACCTCAAATCAGCCCTCTCCCCTCTCACCAACCCCTCCCGATAAGGCCTCCTCACCCTAAAAACCACACCTCTGTCCCTCGCATCACACAGCAGAGCACACCAGGGCTTGCTCTGAGCCAAAGTGGCTGCATTCCCCACAATCCACAGCGCTTTTCTCGCGCGAGTTAATGCTACGTTCATCCGCCGTTCATCTGCTACAAATCCGACGGTCCTCCTCTCTTCCCTCGACGGACGATCGCCGGTGTTCGGTTTTCCAAGGAGAGAGGGGGAAGGGAACGAGGAGGAGGGATGGCAGGAGGGATGGGAGGAGGAGTGGAAAGAGGAGGGGAGGAAACGGGAAGGAGAGGCACGGACGGTGGAGAAGAGGAGGATATCGACCTCCCTGCCCTGAAAGCCGTCGACTGTATTGAATTCCACGTCTGCTGCAGCCCCACGCCCCAGTGCTCGGGTAAACGTGTCCCTTAGAAGGAAGAGCTGCTGCTTGTAGGGGGTGATGATGCCCACCCTGCCTGGTGCGCACTCTTCGGGAAACCTGATGGAAAAGACAGACATTTATGCAGTACAGTAAAGGGAGGAGAGGGGAGAAGCCGTGACCATTAGAAGGAAGAGCTGCTGCTTGTAGGGGGTGATGATGCCCACCCTGCCTGGCGCGCATTCCTCTGGGAAACTGATGGAAGGGGGGATTCACACACACGCATGCAATGCAGGGTGGGGAGGAGAGAATCCGTGGAACAGCTGTTACAATGAATGAACAGCTGTTACAATGAATGGTTACAATGAATGAACAGCTGCGTGGTGTCACCAGGTAGGTTCGGTGTCACCACCTGGTGTTGCTATTACAATGAGCTGTTGCTTGTAGGCGTGGTAACGCCGACCCTACCTGGTGCGCACTGCTCTAGAAGGCTGGTACAAGGGACACACACACAGGAAGAGAGTACAGGGTGGGGAGTTGACTTTTGAGTCGACTCAAAAGTCAACTCAGGAAGAGAGTACAGGGTGGGGAGTGTGCAACAGCTGGTGAAGGCGTGTGGAGAGAGTACAGGGTGGGGAGTGTGCAACAGACGACTTTTGAGACGTCTCAAGAGTCAGGAAGAGAGTACAGGGTGGGGAGTGTGCAACAGGCCCGGTGGGGAGAGGAGAAGGCGTGTGTCTCTCAGAAGAAACAGCAGGTGCTTGGAGTCATTCCACTAGTTTTGCCTGGTGCGTAGTGCATTTTTATCAGGGAAGCTGAAAAAGAGATGTGGATAGGGCAGAGGGAGGACGTGAGGAAGCATATGGAAGGAGAAATACCCAATCCTCTGAACAACGTATGAAAGCAGCATGCCCATACAAGAACTTCGGGACAGACGCTCACCGTTGTTGCAGCAAGCAATAGAGCTCCAGAGCAGCCGTCGCCTCCGCCTCGTTGCACAAAGAAGGGGCTCCTGCTGGCCCTCTCGTCCTCTCCACCCCATCCTCCACATCGAACACACAGTATGGAAGCAGCGGGGCTGTTGACCCCACACTGTGCTGCTGCTGCTCAGCCTGTAACGAATCAAACTGTAACGAGGACGGTGAGGGGTAATTGGATGGTAAGGCTTGGAAGGGGGAGGACCAGGAGGGGGCGGTGACACAGGGAGCGTCAGAGAGAAGGGACTGGTAGAAGAAGGAGGAGGGGAAGCAGGAGATGTGGGGGTTCATGCGGTACTGTGTGGAGAGCATGGTAACAGGGTAACCAGACGTCTGTAGGCGCTCAAAGAGCGAGCGCTCGTAGCGAAGGTTGGATGCCGTACGAGAGAGGACTGTTGCTGGCAGCTGCTTGGGGTCGCCCACCTGGTGGAGAGAGGTGAAGAGGGGTAGAAATGGGTGGAGAGTGAATGGGAATGAGTATAGAGCGGTGAAGGGGGGTGGGTGGAAGGAGAGGTACAAGAATGGTTGCTAATTCGGCAAAAATGAAACCAAGTCAAACCTCACCATGATGCATCGGCTGCTGATTCGACTGAGCAGCTGGAGGGGAATGAGTGTGGCGGGCTCCAATGCCTGAGCAGCCTCATCGATCACCACCGCATCAAACAACCCTTCCATCCACGACGGCAGCACCCCACCTGACCCTCCACCTGAAAAACCACCTGAAGCTCCTCCTCTCACTCCTCCCCCCATACCTCCTCCCCATCCCCTCCCTCTCGCTCCCAGAACCCCCCCTCCCATCCCTCCACTCCCTCCAAACCTCCCACCACCACCAGCACCACCCATCCCCTCTGCTCCTCCTCCCCCTCTCTTCTCCCCTGCCCCTTCCCAACAGGCAGTAAACACGTCCCCTCCACACGCATTCAATGTAGTCACCACAACTTCTGCCTCTCTTATAATCTCTTTTTTCACCGCTGCCCGGCGCGCTTTATCCTCTTCCGCAGCTGCCCGCCGCTCCTTCTCCGCTGCTGCCAGGTCAGCCGAAATTTCCCGCTTCTTCCGATAAAGCAAATTAAGCCTGGCCTTAATAGTCTCCTCCCCATGCGATATAATCTCCTCTGCTATTTCCTCTACCGTTTTCTCCTCCTCTCCCCCTCCCCTTCCACCCTCCCGTCTCCTCTCCCTCGCACCACCACCCTTCCCTCCATCTCCCTCCTCCGCTCTTCCCTCCTCCCCACCCTCCCCATCCTCCCCTGAGCGTTTCTTGCATCGAAGTGCCTCTACTGCTCTGATCACCTCAAAGGCCCGTTCCAACTGCTGCCTCAACTGCGCCACTCTCTCTCTCACAGCATTCTCAGTTCCCAAACCACCACTCGCACCACCAGCACCAGCACCAGCACCAGCACCAGCACCAGCACCAGCACCAGCAGCAGTGCCAGCAGCAGTGCCACTGCCTGTGCCCCCACGAGTGCCAGCACCACCACGAGCGCCACCACCAAACGCCCCATCACCAAACGCGTCCCTCCAATCCTTCTCGCTCAGACCCCCACTACCACCCTCTTTCCCCCCTTCGTTACTATCACCACTGCCTGCATTCACACCTCTCGCAGCTGCTTCTTTCACTAGCCTCTTTGCCACTAGTGTGTCAATGTGAATATGTAGAGAGTCTGGATGGACGGCAGACACGTTCCCAACGCGCACAACCGACGGCTGAGATCGCGCCGTCGCGTCCTCCCCGTCCTTGGCTGCCTCGGAATGGGCTCGGAAGATCCTAGATATGATTTCGTCCACTGCAGCATTGGATTGCGCACACACCAGCACCCTCGTCCGCTGCTTCTTCCCCCCTGCCCCTCCTGCCCCCTCTCCCCCTCCTCCTCCCCCGCTTGCCCTTCCTCCCGCTCCACTACCTCCTCCAGCTCCCCCTCCTCGACTCACCCCTCCTCCTCCCCTCACTCCTCCCCTCACTCCTCCTCTCATCCCCCCTCTCTCCAAATCCATGGCAACAGCAGCATCTTGCCACATACGAGCCATAGCAGTTGCAGTACTCACCCTCTTTCCCTCCCCACCCAACCCACCCGCCCCACCCCTCAACCCTGGCGCCCTCCCAAGCTGCCTAACCCTCGGCTCTTTCAGATCCCAGCCCACACCCGTGTCTTCTCCTGCTCCCGAGTGCTCCTGATTCCCAGAGTTTACTCTTTTCTTGCAGGCTAGCAAGGCTGTGATGATGGCAACGATGGTGCGGGTCTTGCCTGTCCCTGGCGGACCCTGCACCAACACCAGCTGTCGATTCGCCTCTGTACTGCCGCCACCACCACCACCACCACCACCAAAACCACCAGCGGCAGCAGAAGCAGCAGCACGACCAACACCAACAGCACCAAAACCAGCAGCACCGGCAGCAACAGCAGCAGCAGGAGCAGCACCGCTGAAGCCCGGATTGCTGCTGGATGACCCGTCCTTGTTTGTTCCGACCGCCTGCTGAATGGCTTGCAGCTGGTACTCGTTGAACTGGGCCTCGTACTTGTGCCTGAGGGCGACTGGCAGAGGCGTTCCTTCCAGAGATGCAGTCGCAGCACCAGCAGCAGCACCACTACCAGCAGCACCAGCAGCGGCACCAGCAGCACCACTACCAGCAGCACCAGCAGCGGCACCAGCAGCACCGGCAGCACCTGAACTGGCAGCACGAAAGCAGCTGGGCTTAAGCAGAGGTGGGAGCAGCGGCAGGTACTGCGCAGCAGCGAGGGCCTGAAACTCGCGCATGTGGGGCACGAGGGAGAGGATGCGCGTGACGTGCCAGCAGCTGCGGTCGCCCAGGAGTTGCTTGCAGCGTGCGAGGCGAGGGGTGCCGGTGGGCGGGAGGAAGAGACGCAATTGGATGACCATTGCCCGAGATTCCCTCTCGTATTCTCTTCTCTCCACCTGAGGAGAGAGGGGCAGGGGGGGAGGAAGGAGAGGGTGGAAGGGGGGTGGGGCAAGGGGGAGACAGAAGAGAGTGAGGGAAGGAGAGCGGGCAGTTAGGCACTGTGCAGTGCAGCAGCGAGGGCCTGAAACTCGCGCATGTGCGGCACGAGGGAGAGGATGTGCGTGACGTGCCAGCAGCTGCAGTCCCCCATCAGCTGCTTGCAGCGCGCCAGGCGCAGCGAGGAGGTGGGTGGGAGGAAGAGACGCAACTGGATGACCATTGCCCGCGATTCCCTCTCATACTCCCGCCGCTCCGCCTGAGAGGAAGGGATAGCAGGACAGTGGAAGTGGGGTGCGGTGGGGTGGGTTGGAAGATGGATGAGGTGGGAAGGTGGGGAGAGGAGATCTCCCACAGCCGCAGTAGCGTGGTGGTCTGCCACGTTGCGCGTGAGCGGCACGGGATAATTCTCCCCACAGAACAGAACGCCCCTGTTCAAATCGCTCTCTCACGCAATGATTCTCGTCTCACCTTGGCGAGCACATGAAGCTGCTGTGCTGCCACAGCACCACCACCAACCCCCAGCAGCAGCTCCAGCGGCACCAACAGCACCAGAAGCAGCATGGTCGGGCACTTTCCTGGTGAGCATCATGAGATCATTCTCCTCACAGACCTCCCCCACAGAGACCATTGCATTCACTCTTACATGCAATGACTCTCGTCTCACCTTGGCCAGCACATGAAGCTGCTGTGCTGCCGCAGAAGCATCGCTCCCAGCAGCAGCTGCCGCCGCTGCAGCAGCATGGTCGGGCACTTTACGGGTGAGCAGCACGAGATCATTCTCCCCACAAAACGCCCGAGACCCCGATGAAGCTCCAGGTTCGGCCATGAACCTCGCGAGCTGGAAATCATCCACCCGCTCTATCGACAACATTCTCAGCGCTCCCACATATGCCACCTCCGCCCCTCCCCTCCTCTCCCCTGCTCCCCCTCCTCCCGCGCCTCCCCCTCCTCCCGCTCCCCCTCCTCCCGCTCCTCCCACTCCTCCCGTTCCTCCCGCTCCTCCGCCTCCTCCCGAGCCAACAGCATCTTCGTACGATCGCCGAAGCTGCGCCTTGAATTCCTCCAGGACTAGTGGTTGGAACACCCGAACGTACTCCGCCACCGAACCAAACTCGTCTGGCACCCGAACCAGCCCCCGGCTCGCCGAACCTGCAGGCTCGGAAGCAGACACCACCTCATAGTAATCCATGGCCAGGATCTTCCGAAACCAATCGTCTAGCTTCGGCAGAGGCGGCTTCTTCCAAGCCATCCAGTCCTGGATGCCGAGCCTACCCGCCAAGCCTGCCTGGCCGGCCTGGTCCGAGCCTAGTGCGATGGTTTGGTGGCGTTTGATCTGGTCTGCAACGCGGTTCATGCCTTCAAGCCCGCCTATTGAAAGTTTCCCTCCTGGCCTCCTAGCCTTTGCTGCTTCTCTTTCAAGCTCTGCATCCAAGTCATCATCTGCAAAGACCTCTAGAAGCACTGCCGCCTTTGCTTTTGCCACCCCTGCTGCCCCTGCTGCTCCTGCTCCTGCTCCACCTGCTGCCCCTGCCCCTGCTGCTGAACGTGCCATGGCTGGTGGGACAGGGGCTTTGCCGAATAAGCCTGCTCCAGATAAACCTGCACCCGAGGGTGGCTCCACAGTAAATGCAAACGGATCCGCTGCTGCACCAGCCCCCCCTGCCCCTCCCTGCTGCTGCTGCTGCTTCAGCCTCTCCGCCAGCTGTCGCTCTCTGATTTGCCGCTGCACGTCCCCCAGTGCACTGTTCCTCTGCTCCACCTCTGCCTTGTGCGACTCTCGAATCGCTGACAGCTTGCCCCCTCTGCCTGCCCCTTTCATTACACCTGGCTTTCTGCTTAGAAGACTCCGCGGCTTCTTAAAAACGATCCCTCCTGCTCCAAGCCTTGACCCTGCACTCGGTTTTCCCATGCCTGCACCCCCAGTGCCAGCAGCAGCAGTGCCGGCAGCGGCTGTAGCACCAGCACCAGCGCCAGCAGCAGCTGCAACCTGCGTGCGCAGGTATTTTTCGAGAGTGTTTCGGCGCCGCTGCTTTGCTGCTTGCGAGGAAAGGAGAGAGGCAAAGGGAGAGGCGGCGAAGGGAGTGGCAGCATGAGAGGAGGAGGATGCAGCGCCTGCGGAGAACGGAAAAGAAGGCGCCGACTTGGCAAATGCACCTTCCCCAGAAGCACCTTCCCCAGATGGAGTCTCAGCCTCTGCGCCCCCACCTTCACTGCCTCGCTTCAGCTGCCCTATCGGCACCTCCTCCTCCTCATCCTCCTCCTCCTCCTCATCCTCCTCCTCCTCCTCATCCTCCTCCCCCATCTCCTCCTCCTCTTCCTCCTCCTCCTCTTCTTCCTCCTCTTCTTCCTCCTCTTCTTCCTCCTCCATCTCTTCTTCTACTACCTCCTCCATGTTCATATCACCCACTCCCTCTTCCTGCTTCCCTCCCTGTACTTCCTGCTTCACTGCTTTCACCCCTGTAGCATCCATCCCACCAGCACCCATCCCACCAGCACCCACCCCAGCACCCTCCTCAATCTCGTCCAGATCTATAGTCTCAACCATTCCTCCCTTCCCCTTTCCGGCAGTCCCTTTTTCCACTCCTCCAACACTCCAACCCCCACCCCAACCCACTCTCTCCTCCCCTTTCCTCCCCCTGCTCTCCTCCTCATCCTCACCCCTCCTTTCCCCCTGCTCCTTACCCCTCTCCTCCTCTTCATCCTCACTAAACAAGTAAATCAAATCTTCAATCCCCTCTCTCCCACCCTCCTCCTCTCCCTCCTCCCCATCCACCATCCCCCCGTCCACAGACGGAACCCTCAGGCTCGGGAGCGGCTGCTTTGGCGGAGGTTCGGCATCCGAAGCTGCGATAAGCGACGCTGCATGCTGTGCTGCTGCCAAAAGCCTATCCTTCTGTTCTTGAGACAAGCTCACACCCACATTTAGCTTAATCCCAGCAATCAGGCAACTACAGAAATCCCTCAGCAGCACAGCCCATTTCCACCTCCCCCAAATCCCACCTCCCCTGCGACCACCAGTCCTGCTGTTGCTGCTCATACCATGACCACTTTTGTTACATTCTCTGATGTGGTTACCAGTGATAAGGCTCCATGTAACCTGTAACGCTTTCAGCACTGTTGCTGAAGCATCCACCCATCGATGCAGTATAGACCCATCCTTTACAGTCACACAAGCTGCCACGTCAGCCACCCAATCAGCTTCCTCCTCTCTCCCTCCAGCCCCCGCACCACCCATTCCTCCATCCCCAAACCAAGAGGCCCGTACCCCTGCCGAGCCTCCACCCCAGGCCTGGCCGATGCTCCGTTCCAGCAGCAGGTTCGGAATCTCCGGGGAAGAAGCAGCGATCGGGAAGAGTGAGAGTTTACCATCGCAAACCATGCTGGGAACTTTGAAAAGCCCAGGGGCAGTTGGATGGGGGGAGGCAGTGGTGCCTGCAGCAGCCGCAGTGGCAGCAGCTTTGGGAGTGCTGCTGCTACTGCTCGTGATGGAAGATGAGGAAGGGAGTAGATGGTTGACAGCCAGGGGAAGGATCTCGAACAGACGGACAAATACGAGCTTCTGGTGAAGGGAAAGGCAGGGAGGGGAAGGCAGGGGAGGGGAAGGCAGGGGAGGGGAAGGCAGGGGAGGGAAGGGAAAGGGAAGGAGGCAGGAGAAAAGAGAGAGAGGCATGGCCGATGGTAGTATCCACACATAATGATATCTTATCCACACATTCCAACACCCATTTCAGCAGAAAAAATAAAAAATAAAAAGAAAAGAAAAAAAACTCCTGAGATGAGTTATTGAGATCTTACCTGACCGCCAGTGGTGATGGTATCAGCACATGCCCTGCATCGCCACACCAGAAATGCCACCATGGGCCACAGCACACGAGACACATCCCACCCAACCGCTCTCCACACCTCCTTTCTCTCCCTCTCCTCCCTCTCCTCCCTCTCCCACTCCCTTGCCTTCTCCTTCGCCTTCCCCTCCTCATGTTGCTGCTCCAGTTTTACACTAGCAGCAGCAGTGCCATCGGTAGCACCAAACGCACCAGGCGCGGCAGCAGCAGTACCACCACCACCAGCACCAGCACCAGCAGCAGCAGCAGCTGTCACACTTGGCTTGGTGAAAAACTTCTTGATCCCCATTTGTGCCCCGACCCCTACCCCTGATCCTGCTCCACCCCTCCCGAACCCCCCAGACTTAGCAGTGAGGCTGGGTGAGGGAGGTGAGGGGCCGGGCAGAGGAGTGGAGTGCGGTGGAGAGATGCAGGAGAGGTGTACGGAGGGAGGGCCGAGGAGCTTGGATGCATAGAAGAGAAGGCCCTGGATGATTGACGCTTGCTTTCCTGTGGGGTCCAGGGACAACTGGAGGGACGAGGCATGGGCAGAGCACAAAGATGGGGGGATCCAAGGTGGGAGACAGGGAGGTGAGAGGGTAAAGCGAGGAGCTTTGATGCATAGAAGAGAAGGCCTTGGATGATTGATGCCTGCTTGCCTGTGGGGTCCAGGGAGAGCTGGTGTGTGTGTGAGTAGGGCAGAAGAATGGGAAGGGAAGGGAAGAGGCGGACAAAAGGAAGGACAGGCAGAAAGGAAGTGAGGAATGGAAAGAGAAGGGGTAATAGACGGTAGGAGGAGCAGAAGAGAAGGCTTTGGATGAGACGCCTGCTAGCCTGCAGGGTCCATGGGAAGCTGGTGGTGGGGGGAGAGACACCAGTCATCAACGTGTTTGAAGAAGTGTTTTGAGACGTCTCAAAACACTTCTTCAAACAAGTCATCAACGCACAACAGAAAAGGAGGAACAAGTGGGAGCAGCCGAATACCTCCTGGTCATCACAAGAACATCGCATGACCATGAGCACCAATTTCTTACCAAAGTACCAGCCTTGACAAACGCCTGAACAAGCTGGGAGCAGAGGCAGCAGAGGAGATGATCCGATACGATACGATCTCCTGCACCCATGACAGTACCCATTTGATTTCTCACCACAGCAGCCGCCTTGGCGAATGCCCGAACGAGCCCACGGGCAGAGACGGAGGAGGAGGCGAGGAAGGCGAGCTGGTGGTCAATACGGTGGTCTCTGCAGAGGGAGGTTAGCAGCTCTCGAGCCATATCCCTGTTGGGCTGGGGGAGGAAGGAGTGAAGGAGTGAAGACGGGGGACAGAGGTAAGGGATAGAGGTGGGGGAGGCGGCAAGGAAGGCGAGCTGGCGGTCGATGCGGTGGTCCCTGCAGAGGGAGGTGAGGAGCTCTCCAGCCATGTCCCTGTTGGGCTGGGAGGGGGAGAGGTGGAAGGAGTGGGAGAAAGGGTAGAGGGGGAAGCGGAGGGGGAGTGGGGAGAGAGACGCACATGGGACAGGTAAAGGAAGGCGAAATGGTGGTAGATTCACTTTTGAGGCGCCTCAAAAGACGCACATGGGACAGGTAAAGGAAGGCGAAATGGTGGTAGATTAAAGCTCAGGAGCCATTGCAGTGCGAAGGGGAGAAGGGGAGAGGGGGGGAGGGAGCTGACCAGTTGGGAATCGATGAGGAGGAAGATGAGAGGCTCTGCCAGGCTGGCATGCCACGTCAGCAGCTTGAGCCGATTGGCGCCTCTGATCTGGACGAGGCAAGAGGACACGCTCCTGTGATACAGGGACACGTGGCATGGGAAGGAACGGGATAGAACGGGATAAAGGAGGAAGAAGGAGGGTATTGAGGGGAATAGGTATATTGAGACTGAGAGGAATATAAATGGGAAGGATGGGGATGGGGTGGGAAGCAAACGGAAGGAATGTGGGGGGATGGGGGGAAAATTAAGGAAATGGAGTACAAACACCCACCCACCCACCTCTGCAGAATGGCGCTCAGTTGCTCCGTGAGTGGAGGATCATCAGACACGTGTATGAAGAAGTGCTTTGAGACGTCTCAAAACACTTCTTCATACGAATGGCGCTCAGTTGCTCCGTGAGCGGAGGATCATCAGACACGTGTATGAAGAAGTGCTTTGAGACGTCTCAAAACACTTCTTCATACAAATGGCGCTCAGTTGCTCCGTGAGCGGAGGATCATCAGACACGTGTATGAAGAAGTGCTTTGAGACGTCTCAAAACACTTCTTCATACGAATGGCGCTCAGTTGCTCCGTGAGCAGAGGATCATCAGACACGTGTATGAAGAAGTGCTTTGAGACGTCTCAAAACACTTCTTCATACGAATGGCGCTCAGTTGCTCCGTGAGTGGAGGATTATCAGACACGTGTATGAAGAAGTGCTTTGAGACGTCTCAAAACACTTCTTCATACGAATGGCGCTCAGTTGCTCCGTGAGCGGAGGATCATCAGACACGTGTATGAAGAAGTGCTTTGAGACGTCTCAAAACACTTCTTCATACGAATGGCGCTCAGTTGCTCCGTGAGCGGAGGATCATCAGACACGTGTATGAAGAAGTGCTTTGAGACGTCTCAAAACACTTCTTCATACGAATGGCGCTCAGTTGCTCCGTGAGCGGAGGATTATCAGACACGTGTATGAAGAAGTGCTTTGAGACGTCTCAAAACACTTCTTCATACGAATGGCGCTCAGTTGCTCCGTGAGTGGAGGATCATCAGACACGTGTATGAAGAAGTGCTTTGAGACGTCTCAAAACACTTCTTCATACGAATGGCGCTCAGTTGCTCCGTGAGCGGAGGATCATCAGACACGTGTATGAAGAAGTGCTTTGAGACGTCTCAAAACACTTCTTCATACGAATGGCGCTCAGTTGCTCCGTGAGCAGAGGATCATCAGACACGTGTATGAAGAAGTGCTTTGAGACGTCTCAAAACACTTCTTCATACGAATGGCGCTCAGTTGCTCCGTGAGCGGAGGATCATCAGACACGTGTATGAAGAAGTGCTTTGAGACGTCTCAAAACACTTCTTCATACGAATGGCGCTCAGTTGCTCCGTGAGCGGAGGATCATCAGACACGTGTATGAAGAAGTGCTTTGAGACGTCTCAAAATACTTCTTCATACAAATGGCGCTCAGTTGCTCCGTGAGCGGAGGATCATCAGACACGTGTATGAAGAAGTGCTTTGAGACGTCTCAAAACACTTCTTCATACGAATGGCGCTCAGTTGCTCCGTGAGCAGAGGATCATCAGACACGTGTATGAAGAAGTGCTTTGAGACGTCTCAAAACACTTCTTCATACGAATGGCGCTCAGTTGCTCCGTGAGTGGAGGATTATCAGACACGTGTATGAAGAAGTGCTTTGAGACGTCTCAAAACACTTCTTCATACGAATGGCGCTCAGTTGCTCCGTGAGCGGAGGATCATCAGACACGTGTATGAAGAAGTGCTTTGAGACGTCTCAAAACACTTCTTCATACAAATGGCGCTCAGTTGCTCCGTGAGCGGAGGATCATCAGACACGTGTATGAAGAAGTGCTTTGAGACGTCTCAAAACACTTCTTCATACGAATGGCGCTCAGTTGCTCCGTGAGCAGAGGATCATCAGACACGTGTATGAAGAAGTGCTTTGAGACGTCTCAAAACACTTCTTCATACGAATGGCGCTCAGTTGCTCCGTGAGTGGAGGATCATCAGACACGTGTATGAAGAAGTGCTTTGAGACGTCTCAAAACACTTCTTCATACGAATGGCGCTCAGTTGCTCCGTGAGCGGAGGATCATCAGACACGTGTATGAAGAAGTGCTTTGAGACGTCTCAAAACACTTCTTCATACGAATGGCGCTCAGTTGCTCCGTGAGCGGAGGATCATCAGACACGTGTATGAAGAAGTGCTTTGAGACGTCTCAAAACACTTCTTCATACAAATGGCGCTCAGTTGCTCCGTGAGCGGAGGATCATCAGACACGTGTACGAAGAAGTGCTTTGAGACGTCTCAAAACACTTCTTCATACGAATGGCGCTCAGTTGCTCCGTAAGCAGAGGATCATCAGACACGTGTATGAAGAAGTGCTTTGAGACGTCTCAAAACACTTCTTCATACGAATGGCGCTCAGTTGCTCCGTGAGCAGAGGATCATCAGACACGTGTATGAAGAAGTGCTTTGAGACGTCTCAAAACACTTCTTCATACGAATGGCGCTCAGTTGCTCCGTGAGCGGAGGATCATCAGACACGTGTATGAAGAAGTGCTTTGAGACGTCTCAAAACACTTCTTCATACGAATGGCGCTCAGTTGCTCCGTGAGCGGAGGATCATCAGACACGTGTATGAAGAAGTGCTTTGAGACGTCTCAAAACACTTCTTCATACGAATGGCGCTCAGTTGCTCCGTGAGCAGAGGATCATCAGACACGTGTATGAAGAAGTGCTTTGAGACGTCTCAAAACACTTCTTCATACGAATGGCGCTCAGTTGCTCCGTGAGCGGAGGATCATCAGACACGTGTATGAAGAAGTGCTTTGAGACGTCTCAAAACACTTCTTCATACAAATGGCGCTCAGTTGCTCCGTGAGCGGAGGATCATCAGACACGTGTATGAAGAAGTGCTTTGAGACGTCTCAAAACACTTCTTCATACGAATGGCGCTCAGTTGCTCCGTGAGCAGAGGATCATCAGACACGTGTATGAAGAAGTGCTTTGAGACGTCTCAAAACACTTCTTCATACGAATGGCGCTCAGTTGCTCCGTGAGTGGAGGATTATCAGACACGTGTATGAAGAAGTGCTTTGAGACGTCTCAAAACACTTCTTCATACGAATGGCGCTCAGTTGCTCCGTGAGCGGAGGATCATCAGACACGTGTATGAAGAAGTGCTTTGAGACGTCTCAAAACACTTCTTCATACGAATGGCGCTCAGTTGCTCCGTGAGCGGAGGATCATCAGACACGTGTATGAAGAAGTGCTTTGAGACGTCTCAAAACACTTCTTCATACAAATGGCGCTCAGTTGCTCCGTGAGCGGAGGATCATCAGACACGTGTATGAAGAAGTGCTTTGAGACGTCTCAAAACACTTCTTCATACGAATGGCGCTCAGTTGCTCCGTGAGCAGAGGATCATCAGACACGTGTATGAAGAAGTGCTTTGAGACGTCTCAAAACACTTCTTCATACGAATGGCGCTCAGTTGCTCCGTGAGCGGAGGATCATCAGACACGTGTATGAAGAAGTGCTTTGAGACGTCTCAAAACACTTCTTCATACAAATGGCGCTCAGTTGCTCCGTGAGCGGAGGATCATCAGACACGTGTATGAAGAAGTGCTTTGAGACGTCTCAAAACACTTCTTCATACGAATGGCGCTCAGTTGCTCCGTGAGCAGAGGATCATCAGACACGTGTATGAAGAAGTGCTTTGAGACGTCTCAAAACACTTCTTCATACGAATGGCGCTCAGTTGCTCCGTGAGTGGAGGATTATCAGACACGTGTATGAAGAAGTGCTTTGAGACGTCTCAAAACACTTCTTCATACGAATGGCGCTCAGTTGCTCCGTGAGCGGAGGATCATCAGACACGTGTATGAAGAAGTGCTTTGAGACGTCTCAAAACACTTCTTCATACAAATGGCGCTCAGTTGCTCCGTGAGCGGAGGATCATCAGACACGTGTATGAAGAAGTGCTTTGAGACGTCTCAAAACACTTCTTCATACGAATGGCGCTCAGTTGCTCCGTGAGCAAAGGATCATCAGACACGTGTATGAAGAAGTGCTTTGAGACGTCTCAAAACACTTCTTCATACGAATGGCGCTCAGTTGCTCCGTGAGTGGAGGATTATCAGACACGTGTATGAAGAAGTGCTTTGAGACGTCTCAAAACACTTCTTCATACGAATGGCGCTCAGTTGCTCCGTGAGCGGAGGATCATCAGACACGTGTATGAAGAAGTGCTTTGAGACGTCTCAAAACACTTCTTCATACAAATGGCGCTCAGTTGCTCCGTGAGCGGAGGATCATCAGACACGTGTATGAAGAAGTGCTTTGAGACGTCTCAAAACACTTCTTCATACGAATGGCGCTCAGTTGCTCCGTGAGCAGAGGATCATCAGACACGTGTATGAAGAAGTGCTTTGAGACGTCTCAAAACACTTCTTCATACGAATGGCGCTCAGTTGCTCCGTGAGTGGAGGATTATCAGACACGTGTATGAAGAAGTGCTTTGAGACGTCTCAAAACACTTCTTCATACGAATGGCGCTCAGTTGCTCCGTGAGCGGAGGATCATCAGACACGTGTATGAAGAAGTGCTTTGAGACGTCTCAAAACACTTCTTCATACGAATGGCGCTCAGTTGCTCCGTGAGCGGAGGATCATCAGACACGTGTATGAAGAAGTGCTTTGAGACGTCTCAAAACACTTCTTCATACAAATGGCGCTCAGTTGCTCCGTGAGCGGAGGATCATCAGACACGTGTATGAAGAAGTGCTTTGAGACGTCTCAAAACACTTCTTCATACGAATGGCGCTCAGTAGCTCCGTGAGCAGAGGATCATCAGACACGTGTATGAAGAAGTGCTTTGAGACGTCTCAAAACACTTCTTCATACGAATGGCGCTCAGTTGCTCCGTGAGTGGAGGATTATCAGACACGTGTATGAAGAAGTGCTTTGAGACGTCTCAAAACACTTCTTCATACGAATGGCGCTCAGTTGCTCCGTGAGCGGAGGATCATCAGACACGTGTATGAAGAAGTGCTTTGAGACGTCTCAAAACACTTCTTCATACAAATGGCGCTCAGTTGCTCCGTGAGCGGAGGATCATCAGACACGTGTATGAAGAAGTGCTTTGAGACGTCTCAAAACACTTCTTCATACAAATGGCGCTCAGTTGCTCCGTGAGCGGAGGATCATCAGACACGTGTATGAAGAAGTGCTTTGAGACGTCTCAAAACACTTCTTCATACGAATGGCGCTCAGTTGCTCCGTGAGCAGAGGATCATCAGACACGTGTATGAAGAAGTGCTTTGAGACGTCTCAAAACACTTCTTCATACGAATGGCGCTCAGTTGCTCCGTGAGCGAAGGATCATCAGACACGTGTATGAAGAAGTGCTTTGAGACGTCTCAAAACACTTCTTCATACAAATGGCGCTCAGTTGCTCCGTGAGCGGAGGATCATCAGACACGTGTATGAAGAAGTGCTTTGAGACGTCTCAAAACACTTCTTCATACGAATGGCGCTCAGTTGCTCCGTGAGTGGAGGATTATCAGACACGTGTATGAAGAAGTGCTTTGAGACGTCTCAAAACACTTCTTCATACGAATGGCGCTCAGTTGCTCCGTGAGCGGAGGATCATCAGACACGTGTATGAAGAAGTGCTTTGAGACGTCTCAAAACACTTCTTCATACAAATGGCGCTCAGTTGCTCCGTGAGCGGAGGATCATCAGACACGTGTATGAAGAAGTGCTTTGAGACGTCTCAAAACACTTCTTCATACGAATGGCGCTCAGTTGCTCCGTGAGCAGAGGATCATCAGACACGTGTATGAAGAAGTGCTTTGAGACGTCTCAAAACACTTCTTCATACGAATGGCGCTCAGTTGCTCCGTGAGTGGAGGATTATCAGACACGTGTATGAAGAAGTGCTTTGAGACGTCTCAAAACACTTCTTCATACGAATGGCGCTCAGTTGCTCCGTGAGCGGAGGATCATCAGACACGTGTATGAAGAAGTGCTTTGAGACGTCTCAAAACACTTCTTCATACGAATGGCGCTCAGTTGCTCCGTGAGCGGAGGATCATCAGACACGTGTATGAAGAAGTGCTTTGAGACGTCTCAAAACACTTCTTCATACAAATGGCGCTCAGTTGCTCCGTGAGCGGAGGATCATCAGACACGTGTATGAAGAAGTGCTTTGAGACGTCTCAAAACACTTCTTCATACGAATGGCGCTCAGTTGCTCCGTGAGCAGAGGATCATCAGACACGTGTATGAAGAAGTGCTTTGAGACGTCTCAAAACACTTCTTCATACGAATGGCGCTCAGTTGCTCCGTGAGCAGAGGATCATCAGACACGTGTATGAAGAAGTGCTTTGAGACGTCTCAAAACACTTCTTCATACAAATGGCGCTCAGTTGCTCCGTGAGCGGAGGATCATCAGACACGTGTATGAAGAAGTGCTTTGAGACGTCTCAAAACACTTCTTCATACGAATGGCGCTCAGTTGCTCCGTGAGCAGAGGATCATCAGACACGTGTATGAAGAAGTGCTTTGAGACGTCTCAAAACACTTCTTCATACGAATGGCGCTCAGTTGCTCCGTGAGTGGAGGATTATCAGACACGTGTATGAAGAAGTGCTTTGAGACGTCTCAAAACACTTCTTCATACGAATGGCGCTCAGTTGCTCCGTGAGCGGAGGATCATCAGACACGTGTATGAAGAAGTGCTTTGAGACGTCTCAAAACACTTCTTCATACAAATGGCGCTCAGTTGCTCCGTGAGCGGAGGATCATCAGACACGTGTATGAAGAAGTGCTTTGAGACGTCTCAAAACACTTCTTCATACAAATGGCGCTCAGTTGCTCCGTGAGCGGAGGATCATCAGACACGTGTATGAAGAAGTGCTTTGAGACGTCTCAAAACACTTCTTCATACGAATGGCGCTCAGTTGCTCCGTGAGCAGAGGATCATCAGACACGTGTATGAAGAAGTGCTTTGAGACGTCTCAAAACACTTCTTCATACGAATGGCGCTCAGTTGCTCCGTGAGCGAAGGATCATCAGACACGTGTATGAAGAAGTGCTTTGAGACGTCTCAAAACACTTCTTCATACAAATGGCGCTCAGTTGCTCCGTGAGCGGAGGATCATCAGACACGTGTATGAAGAAGTGCTTTGAGACGTCTCAAAACACTTCTTCATACGAATGGCGCTCAGTTGCTCCGTGAGTGGAGGATTATCAGACACGTGTATGAAGAAGTGCTTTGAGACGTCTCAAAACACTTCTTCATACGAATGGCGCTCAGTTGCTCCGTGAGCGGAGGATCATCAGACACGTGTATGAAGAAGTGCTTTGAGACGTCTCAAAACACTTCTTCATACAAATGGCGCTCAGTTGCTCCGTGAGCGGAGGATCATCAGACACGTGTATGAAGAAGTGCTTTGAGACGTCTCAAAACACTTCTTCATACGAATGGCGCTCAGTTGCTCCGTGAGCAGAGGATCATCAGACACGTGTATGAAGAAGTGCTTTGAGACGTCTCAAAACACTTCTTCATACGAATGGCGCTCAGTTGCTCCGTGAGTGGAGGATTATCAGACACGTGTATGAAGAAGTGCTTTGAGACGTCTCAAAACACTTCTTCATACGAATGGCGCTCAGTTGCTCCGTGAGCGGAGGATCATCAGACACGTGTATGAAGAAGTGCTTTGAGACGTCTCAAAACACTTCTTCATACGAATGGCGCTCAGTTGCTCCGTGAGCGGAGGATCATCAGACACGTGTATGAAGAAGTGCTTTGAGACGTCTCAAAACACTTCTTCATACAAATGGCGCTCAGTTGCTCCGTGAGCGGAGGATCATCAGACACGTGTATGAAGAAGTGCTTTGAGACGTCTCAAAACACTTCTTCATACGAATGGCGCTCAGTTGCTCCGTGAGCAGAGGATCATCAGACACGTGTATGAAGAAGTGCTTTGAGACGTCTCAAAACACTTCTTCATACGAATGGCGCTCAGTTGCTCCGTGAGCAGAGGATCATCAGACACGTGTATGAAGAAGTGCTTTGAGACGTCTCAAAACACTTCTTCATACAAATGGCGCTCAGTTGCTCCGTGAGCGGAGGATCATCAGACACGTGTATGAAGAAGTGCTTTGAGACGTCTCAAAACACTTCTTCATACGAATGGCGCTCAGTTGCTCCGTGAGTGGAGGATTATCAGACACGTGTATGAAGAAGTGCTTTGAGACGTCTCAAAACACTTCTTCATACGAATGGCGCTCAGTTGCTCCGTGAGCGGAGGATCATCAGACACGTGTATGAAGAAGTGCTTTGAGACGTCTCAAAACACTTCTTCATACAAATGGCGCTCAGTTGCTCCGTGAGCGGAGGATCATCAGACACGTGTATGAAGAAGTGCTTTGAGACGTCTCAAAACACTTCTTCATACGAATGGCGCTCAGTTGCTCCGTGAGCGGAGGATCATCAGACACGTGTATGAAGAAGTGCTTTGAGACGTCTCAAAACACTTCTTCATACGAATGGCGCTCAGTTGCTCCGTGAGCGGAGGATTATCAGACACGTGTATGAAGAAGTGCTTTGAGACGTCTCAAAACACTTCTTCATACGAATGGCGCTCAGTTGCTCCGTGAGTGGAGGATCATCAGACACGTGTATGAAGAAGTGCTTTGAGACGTCTCAAAACACTTCTTCATACGAATGGCGCTCAGTTGCTCCGTGAGCGGAGGATCATCAGACACGTGTATGAAGAAGTGCTTTGAGACGTCTCAAAACACTTCTTCATACGAATGGCGCTCAGTTGCTCCGTGAGCAGAGGATCATCAGACACGTGTATGAAGAAGTGCTTTGAGACGTCTCAAAACACTTCTTCATACGAATGGCGCTCAGTTGCTCCGTGAGCGGAGGATCATCAGACACGTGTATGAAGAAGTGCTTTGAGACGTCTCAAAACACTTCTTCATACGAATGGCGCTCAGTTGCTCCGTGAGCGGAGGATCATCAGACACGTGTATGAAGAAGTGCTTTGAGACGTCTCAAAACACTTCTTCATACAAATGGCGCTCAGTTGCTCCGTGAGCGGAGGATCATCAGACACGTGTATGAAGAAGTGCTTTGAGACGTCTCAAAACACTTCTTCATACGAATGGCGCTCAGTTGCTCCGTGAGCAGAGGATCATCAGACACGTGTATGAAGAAGTGCTTTGAGACGTCTCAAAACACTTCTTCATACGAATGGCGCTCAGTTGCTCCGTGAGTGGAGGATTATCAGACACGTGTATGAAGAAGTGCTTTGAGACGTCTCAAAACACTTCTTCATACGAATGGCGCTCAGTTGCTCCGTGAGCGGAGGATCATCAGACACGTGTATGAAGAAGTGCTTTGAGACGTCTCAAAACACTTCTTCATACGAATGGCGCTCAGTTGCTCCGTGAGCGGAGGATCATCAGACACGTGTATGAAGAAGTGCTTTGAGACGTCTCAAAACACTTCTTCATACGAATGGCGCTCAGTTGCTCCGTGAGCGGAGGATTATCAGACACGTGTATGAAGAAGTGCTTTGAGACGTCTCAAAACACTTCTTCATACGAATGGCGCTCAGTTGCTCCGTGAGCGGAGGATCATCAGACACGTGTATGAAGAAGTGCTTTGAGACGTCTCAAAACACTTCTTCATACGAATGGCGCTCAGTTGCTCCGTGAGCAGAGGATCATCAGACACGTGTATGAAGAAGTGCTTTGAGACGTCTCAAAACACTTCTTCATACGAATGGCGCTCAGTTGCTCCGTGAGCGGAGGATCATCAGACACGTGTATGAAGAAGTGCTTTGAGACGTCTCAAAACACTTCTTCATACGAATGGCGCTCAGTTGCTCCGTGAGCGGAGGATTATCAGCTGACTTTCGAGTCGACTCAAAAGTCAGCTCGTTACAATGTTCCTTCGTGAGCAGAGGATTTTTAGTCAATTCAGAACGCACATTGAGAACACACCCCCCCCCCACTCACCTCTGCAGAATGACGCTTAATTCCTCCTCGTGTTCTGCTGCTGCCACCGCATTCACACACCCTGCTTTCGCCCCTCTCCCCCCTCCCCCCGCCCCAGGAGCCAATCTCCAGTGCAGAGCCGCTGTAACCACCGCACTGCTGGTAACTGCAGGACCGCTGGTAACAAGAGGCTTACTCCCAGCAGATGTAACCCCAACACCACCACCACCAGTACCAGCAGCCGCAGCAGCGGCGGAAGCAGAGAGACAGAAGTGCCCTGCCACCCAAACGGCTGCTCTGAGTAACGGTTTTGGTAACCACTGGGGGGGATTTCGCTCTAGTAGCTCCAACCAGAGCGCGGGAGCACACTGCCACCTGTCGCTCTCTGCTGCCGCCACCTCAGCAAGCCGGTCCAGCTGGTCTTGAGGCAAACCCTCCGAGATTGAGGATAAAGAGGAAGAAGAGGAGGAGGTGGTGAGGGAGGAGGTGGAGGAGGAGGAAATTTGGCCTGTGCTGGTGTCAGCAGCACCAGAAATACCAGAACCACCACCCCCACCTCCCTCCCCTCCATGCCCTCCCTCATCCCCTTCCCCTGGGCACACCAGCGACTGCGAAAACAACGCACCTGCCACAGCAAACCCCGAACCTAACCCCGAACCTGCGCCCGGACCTGAGCCCGGACCTAGCACCGAAGTGCCAGCGAAGGCTCGGGAGAGCGCGAGCGAGGTGAGGGCAGCAGTATCGGCAGTGATGATTGCTTGGGCGAGGTGGATGGCAGGCAGGCGGAGGGGGTCGGGGAGAGATGCGTCCTTGACTGCCCCCACGAGGGGCGGCCCCCAGATGTCAGCACAGTCGGTGGGCGGGAGAGGCGGAGTGAGTAGGTAGGAGTGCAGGATGAGGCTGAATGCGATCTGATGGGAGGGAGGGATGCGAGTGGGGGAAGGGGGGACAGGGTGGAGGTCACAGCAGCATAGCAACATAGTCTTGGCTGGGGTGAAGGAAAAGGGGGGAAAGGGTTGAAGCTGAAGAAGGGGAGAGTGGAGCTGAAGTTATGTGGCACAACAAATTAGAACAAGAGACAGAGGAAAAACCCTCACCCGACGGGCGATCTTGATGGTGGTGGTGCTGAAGTTGCGGCTGTTGGGCAGCTGGATGAGCAGGAAGAAGAGGATGTTGCGCCGCTGCCTCTCGAATTCCTCTGTTTCCAGCGATTCCACAGACTGATAAGCCAGGAAAGAATGTACAAAAAAGAAAGAAAGAAAGAAAGAAAGAAAGAAAGAAAGAAAGAAAGAAAGAAAGAAAGAAAGAAAGAAAGAAAGAAAGAAAGAAAGAAAGAAAGAAAGAAAGAAAGAAAGAAACCACAAGTACAAGAGTTATCGAAGCAGGATGTGGTTACAATTTCTTCATTTGATCGAAACAAAAATGGGGATAATGATATCACGGACGACTTGGACATGAACGGCAGGCAAGTTTTGGACAGACCTGCAGGAAGGGCGGCAGGAGGTCAAGCAGGAGCTTGTGGGTGGGCTCGTGGGAGGAGTTGAAGCACTGCGAGATGAGCGTGTTGCGCACGACACCGGGCGGGAAGGCCGAGTGCAACCAGAGCTTGTATCCTGGAAGATTTATGACAGGGAGTCAAAGGGAAGGAAAGAGCGAAGTAGAGAGGGGCGGATGGGTGAGTAGGTGAGTGGGTGGATGGGTGGGTGGGTGGGTGGGTGGGTGGGTGGGTGGGTGGGTGGGTGGGTGGGTGGGTGGGTGGGTGGGTGGGTGGGTGGGTGGGTGGGTGGGTAGGTAGGTAGGTGGGTGAGTGGGCGGGCGCTTGGGTGGGAAGGTGGAAGGAAGGTGGGACAGTGGCGAGGATGGGAGGTGCGACGGTGGGAGGTGAGCAGTTGGAAAGTGAGGAGGTGGAAAGTGAGGAGGTGGAAGGTGAGGAGGTGGAAGGTGGGAGTTGGGGAGGGGGGAGGCGAGAGGAGGGAGGAGGGAGGTAGGAGGTGGAAAGGTGGGCAGCAGGAAGGTGGGATGGTGTGGTGTGGGCTAGTGAGTGGGTTGGGCAGGCAGGTGGTGGAACAGGGAACTTCAAAACCCCATGTTTTGAAAGAATCTAAACCCCATATTTTGAAAGAATCTAAACCCTTTCACCCACCTGTGACTTGCAGCGTCATTCTAAGGCATGCAAGGGCAGGCCGGAATACCGAAGTGTCCTCCCCCACATGGTTCAGCAGTATGCTCACGAAAGCCGGGTAGCGCTCAACCACACACTGCTTAGAACTCAAGCTCGGTGACTTTTGAGTCGACTCAAAAGTTACCTCAACCACCCACTGCTTAGAACTCAAGCTGGCTCTTTAAGGGGCACCCCACCTGTGACTTGCAGCATCATCCTGAGGCATGCCAGGGCGGGTCGGAAGACAGATGTGTCCTCCCCCACGTGGTTCAGCACTATGCTCACGAAAGCCGGGTAGCGCTCCACCACCCCCTCGTCCAGTGCTGGTGGCGCCATGAGCGACAGGCTGAGAGGGATGGGAGTTGGGAGAGGTTGAGAGCGGTTTAGGGAGGTTGAAAGATGGGGCGGGTGGGGGAGGCAATGGGCACATGGGAGAACTATGCTCACGAACGCCGGGTAGCGCTCCATCACTCCCTCGTCCAGTGCAGGTGCTGCCATGAGCGAGAGGCTGAGAGAGGGGTTGAGAAAGGTTTGAAAAGATTGAGAGATGGCGCACATACAGAAGCATTAGAGTTGAATCAAAAGGACACCCACACACCACACCACACCACACCACACCACACCACAACACTCCACACCAAAACACACCCACGCACAACCACACCACACTCACATGGTGAGCAGTCCCTGCCACATATCTTCCTTCGAATGCACCACACGAGGCCGCTCGCCCCCCTCCCTCCCACCCCCAACTCCTGCTCCCCCTTGCGCACTCGCAGAGGCAGTGGCGTTACCAGCAGCACCGGCTCTTCCCAAGCCTGTTCTCGAGATTGCTGCCGAGCCTGTTCCCGAGCCTGTGCCTGTGCCAGTAGCGGGTGTGCTTGTATCAAAGAGGTCATACTCCAGGACGTGCATGCACTGCTGCAGGAGGGGGTCGATGGGCCTCAAATCTGCTGCTGTTCTGTTTTCGGTGGAGGTTTGGGGTTGGGTGGGAGGGGAGAGGGGGTTGGGGCCAGTAAGAGAATTCCACAGGTGAAGATACTTCGTGGCAAAGAGGCAGTACTCCAGGGGAGCGTGCATCTTGGGAAAAGTTTAAAACTCATTGATCTCAGATGTACAAACATTCTGTGGAAAAGCAAGGAGAGTAGATCAAGTGTACGCACTTGAAGAGGCCGAGGGGCTTGGCGAGAGTGTAGACAATGGCGCGAGTGTCTTTGTTGGGATGAAGCATGAGATGGTAGAGGCCCTGAGTGGGGGGAAGGGGGAAAGGAGGATGATAGACGATGGTATACACGATGGCTCTAGTGACTTTGCTGAAGTCCTGTCCGTGGGGTATAGACGATGGCTCGAGTGTCTTTGTTGGGATGGGATGCAGCATGACATGGTACAGACCCTGAAAGGGGAGGGGAGGAGGTGTGTGGGGGGTATGAAAAGTGCGAAGGAAGGCGAGAGAAGCAGTGACAATAAGGAGCAAGTCTGCTGCTGATTCAGGCTAACAAACAAGTCTCTCCCTCCACGAGCAACAGAGAAGGGCCACATCATGGCACAGCATGTCATGCCTTGCCACATCATGGCACAGCATGTCATGCCTTGCATTGCCATATCATGCCATATACTGTGTCTATCACTCACCCGGTATCTTTGTCCCGGAGTGAGTGACAAGTCAAAGTGCCTTTCCACGAGCACCAGGGCAGGGCCAGCGAGGGAAAACACCTCTGCGTCCTCCAGCACACGCGGGTACATGAGCAACTCAAACATGACACAAATCACCCCCGGCCCGTCCCTCTCCCTTTACACTGACTCACCGGGTATCTCTGTCCCGGAGTGAGGGATAAGTCGAAGTGTCTCTCTACGAGCACCAGTGCAGGGCCAGCGAGAGCAAACACCTCTGCGTCCTCCAGCACGCGCGGATACATGAGCAGCTCAAACATTAAGCAGATCACCCCCGGCCGGGCCGGCCCTTCTCCCTCCTACACTGACTCACCGGGTATCGCTGCCCCGGGGTGAGTGAGAGGTCGAAATGCCTTTCCACGAGCACTAGAGCAGGGCCAGCGAGGGCGAACACCTCTGCATCCTCCAGCACACGTGGGTACATGAGCAGCTCAAACATTAAGCAGATCACCCCCGGCCCGTCCCTCTCTGCATCCAAAACCTGCCCTCCAGCCATGCCACTGCTCCCAGCACCGCTACCAACACCACCAGAACCGCTCGAAACACCACCAGAACCGCTCGAAACACCACCAGAACCAGCTCCAACACCACCACCCGTCCCTCCAGCACGACCCACCAGCGCCCTCAATTCTCCCGCCACCCTCTCCTCATCCAACCTCCTCAGCGTGTCCAACACAGGCCCCACCACTTCCTCCACATATTCCTCCTCGTACACTCTCTTCGCTGCGTGGTATCTCGCCACACAGCGCGTGCAGGCGCGCATCTCCCCCGCCATGCGCGCCCAGAGCGCGTGCAGTGTGGCGCGCGTGTCGGGCGGGCCCGAGTGGTAGTGGTAGAAAGGTTCTAAGAGTGGTTGAGTGAGGGATCGGTGGCGGCACCACAGGTGGGCAGAGGGGGGGAGTGCGGAGAGGAAGGAAAAAGCGTCAGTGAACCTGGGAGGGGAGTTGGGAAAAGGGGGAGAGGGGCAGTACAGGTGAAACGGGGGCTTTCGATTCTGAATTAAGTGGGCCCAAGTGGTAGTGGTACAAGGGCTCCAGGAGGGGCTGGGTGAGGGCGCGGTGGCGACACCACAGGTGGGCGGAGGGGGGGAGCGCGGAGAGGAAGGCGAAGGCGTCATTAAACCTGTGAACCTGGGGGAAAGGAGGGGGAGGGAGCAGGGTTGTAGAGGGGCAATGGGGGGTTCTGAATTGGGTGGGCCTGAGTGGTAGTGATAGAAGGGCTCCAGGAGGGGCTGGGTGAGAGAGTGGTGACGGGCTGGAGTGGTAGTCAGCATTTCCAGTCCCTCCCTGAGACGAGGCCCCAATAACCCCCAAAATACTCACCCTACTACACCCGGTACCACAACCCACGATACTGCTGATACCACGGATACCACTACCCTTAGGACGCAATCACAAGCACGCAGGCTTCTGTCCCTACCATTGTCCCTTGAGCGCTATCAGTTGCTCCTCCGCCCTTACCAATCCCCCCTCCCTACACAAGCACAAGCACTCGATCCTTTTTTCCCTACCATTGTCCCTTAAGCGCCATCAGTTTCTCCTCCGCCTCGTCATCTTCCGGAAGCTCACCCAGCGCCTCCTCTATCCGCTCCCACCGCGCCTGCAGCTGCTTCTCCGCCGCCTCAGGGGTAAGATTTCCCCCCCCTGAACCCCTTCCGCTCCCCCCGGCTCCCCTTCCGGACCCCCCCTCATCCGTTTCCTGCTTTCCACCGGATGATGGAGCCATTCTGAGTGTATCAGCGTTGCGGGTTTACGTTTACGCTAACACAATGACGCTGCCACGGTTCTACGGTAACGAAACAGCTTGTAGCGAATCTGTAGTGCGTGACCGATCATGGCCAATCTTGAAGGTGTGCTTCTGACCGAGTACAATTCAACCTGTACGGCCAAGTCTGATCGAACGTGGACTGGTGTGGTGCGTCAGAGCACGCTGACTAATAGATCATGCTATCTCCTCAACTGCAGGCGGAGGTTGAAAATTAGTCATCGACGATAACTTGCGGGAATGGTAACAAGCTGATGATGATGCGTGGCCTGATGACGAGAGACGTATCGTAAAACGAAACCCGTTTGCCAGCCACTCGATATCGGAGAGTTGTACCACATGAACTTGAAGATGCTAAGGATCAACTTCTGAGGAAGATACTAAGGCAGGGATAAAATCGATACTTTCGAGATACGATATGCCTTCCTCGCTTTCTCTAACCCAAGCACCGTCAAAGTAAGACTGGTCATCCATCCCGCTGCCATGATATGCGGAAGTGATCATCACTCATGCCTCGGCAATGTCAGAAGAATCCCCTTAAGGTTACCATCATGAGTTTTGAGGCTAAGTCCCAAAAGATCGCTTGAATGCGGCTGAGTTCGGTTCGTTGCATTTTCGAAGCGTTTCGTCTACTGCCTGGATGGGTTGGGTTGGATTCGGTTGATCATGAAGTTTTTTGGTTCTGTACCCTTGATTGTGCCGTGAGCGTCACGATGTTGGCGGGAAGCGAATTGAACTGGTTATGTCAGAGACTTCATACAGTGAGTAGCATTTACAATTTAAATTACGTATACTACTCTTATAAATAGATACAATACAGAACACTTTCCAGCACAATACTTTTTAAACTATATCTACAATGTACGTGCATATTTAACATCTACTCAATGGAGCACTCAAGAGGAACTCCATCCCCTAACACAAGCTCCATCGGCTTGGCTCCCTCCACCTCTCCCTTCACTTCTCCCACCACCTTCAAGCAGAAGTCTACATCAATAGAGTCACACCCAGGGCTCTGTAGTGCCTCATGCAGCCACACCCTGCACTGCTCCACCACTTCAGTCACATCCATTTGACTCAACCGCTTTCCAAATCCAGAGCAGTGCTTTCCTTCCACTTCCTCCAACCTACAATCACCACCATCACCACCATCACCTCCAACCACTGCCACATCAGCTCCTTCCCAGAACGTATTACATTCACCCAAATCTCCTTCCGGAAGTTCTGGAAGATCTGTTACATCCAGCAGCAGCGGAATCTGTGCAAGCTCCCCCAGAATTTCGTTAACATCGGCCATAGCATCTCCACCATTCCCTTCAGCCAAAGAACGGCCTTTCCTCTTCGATCCGGACCGTTTTCTACTCCCAGCAGCACCAGCACCAGCTTTCGCCGTCCGCTTCCCGGTCAGCAGGAACATCCGGTCCTCCTCTGACTTGCACTGACACGCCAGGCACTGACACGGCGTTTCATCTGACGTGGCGGGTTTCAACTGCTTCTCCAGAGCCTCCCAAAGACCCCCCTCTTCTGATCCCGAGTCGACGTCCAGCTCTTCATTTGCTGCTAAAACCGCGGAAGCAGGGGAAGGAGGATCCACGCGCCTAACTTTGGATGGCTGCTGCTGCTGCTGCTCCTGGTCCAGCTCCTGTTGCTGCTGCGGCTGCTGCTGGGGCTGCTGCTGCTGCTGTTGGAATTCGTAGCTTGATGTTGGTGAAAACGCGAGATCCCGCTTCCGCTTTCCGAGAGGGGCTTCGACAGGGGTCAGTCGCTCTTGGGACATAGCAACAGCAGCACCAGGAGCAGCAGACGGAGCGACAGGAGCAGCAGACGGAGCGACAAGAGCAGCAGGAGCGGAGGGGATTTGCGTTCCGCTGCCGCCACACCGGCGCAGAACGAGACCAGGGGGCAACTGCAGCAGAGAGATGCGCATTGGCTGCAGCGCCGGCGGCGGAGGGGGGTTCGCCACGTGGCATTGCTGAGGTGTCACCTCAGGCTGCGACGCGACGTGGTTTCCCAAGGCGGGTTCGACAAGAAACTCCGGGAACTCGTCGCCTGCGACGTCCAGCGACGAGAAATCGACGTCGCCACCAGTAGCATGGAACGCATCGAGAAGGAAGTCGCCAGCATCGCCGAGCGCATCGCCGAGCGCATCGCCAAGGCATGCATCGCTGAGTTTGCTCTCAAGAATCACGCGAGTCTCCTTCCCAAAGTCCGGTTTCACTGCAATCTGGCCCACGTCGTTCGCCGCAAGCTCGGTCGCAGTCAGATCCCCTGCAGTCAGCTCAACGGCAGTCAACTCGTCAACCAGATTGGCCTCGGCAATCAGGCTTGTCTCGTCCGTCAGATCCAAGCTCAGGATCCAATCAGCACCGCCCGCGGCAGCCGCAGCCGCATCAGCAGACGATGAGCTCTCCTCGACGATCAGATCTTCCAGGTTTCCGAACGCGTCCACAGGAGCTTCGTCAACGTTAACGTTACCGTTTGCTTCCAGTTGATTGTCGGATGGAGCAGACAGGAACTCGGGAAGTGGGAGGTCTTCGGGGAAAGAGATTCGCGCGGAGGTCGCCAGCAGTTCGGTGGAAGCGTTGTCGTTGGAAGCAGCAAAGTTTTGCGACATTCACGACCAGAGCACTATAAAAGAGCGGTGACTGAGCGACCAGAGAGCGATCAAACAGCGAGGATTGGCTCTGCGGAGGCTAAGACGAGTATAATCAGCGGCGAGACAGTCTACTTGCGAAGAGTTCGAACACAGAAGCGCACAGAGAAATGAAACAGACTACCAGAATATGTACTAAGTTGGCCTACTAGCCAAAGGACTGCTCGATAGGAGCAGACGGAGACGGAGTCGACACATGCAGAGGGCAAGGGAAACACACAAGCACAGGTGCCAGTGCGCTACTGGGTTTCCTGTGGTTTGCAGTACGTTTCGAAACGGTAGAAACAGTTGAAGCGGTTTTCTGTGCTGATTCCAAGGTTTTAGGGGGGCCAGACATTCGAGGATCTGACAGCAGCGACGCGGAATGCTAGGGCGAGCATCGCAACGCAATTTGAATTGACTCCGACGAATGCCTGGAGAATTATGGGTCGCATCGCAGGGAATGCAAGTAGGAATCTGAGTCGCAGGGATTTCGCACGGGAAGTTGGGTCGCGAAGAATGCTTGGAGAATTTTGGTCACAGCGCGCGAAGGGAACCCCTGGGCGACGTAGGCGGAGCCCCCCCGAGAATTCCGAGAGCCTATCTACACACGATGGCGGGAAAAGTTCATGCCCGTTCAAAAACCGACACGCACGCCAGGAAAACGAACGATAGTCAATTGTGCAGTGGTACCGTTCGGTACTGAAGGAAGGACTAAATGGGTACAGGTATAGAAACGAAATCAATTATATAGAAAGAATGAACTTTCTACAACCCACCTGAGACGGACTCTCTAGGTATATTGCGAAAAAAAACGTATCGACAATACCCAATTCGGCCTTCATTGTGCTGATGGGGCTATGGACACAGCGCGAAACTGGTTCACACTTTTCGCCCCTGCTTCAAGTTCTTGCTTCTCCCTCTTGCTGTCCCAGCCATGCTCCTTGGCCAGCAGTTTGACAACACGTGGCAGAGCATGCATTGCAGCATCGGCATCTAGGAAGGCGATACGAGATCGGCGGCACAGGAAGTCTGCTGCAGTCTCGCAAAACTCGTTACGGGCAGCGAAGATTACTTCAGCCTCGATGTCGGGGAAACCAGGAGCAAGGCGCTCAGCCAAAAGCTCAGTCTGTGGGGAATGGGAAAGAACGGACAGTGGTAAGTGTCTAGAAGAAATTCAAGTGCACGAGTGCCAAGGAGGAGATGATACGATGTGGGCTGAGAGCCCAGAAAGTACAAAACCTCAAAACACAATGAACCTTCAATGCATTCTTGCTGATAAAGTCAGTGTCTGATGAGGACGACGTATGTTTTATTATTTAGCAAGACAGAATTGAGAATGGCAAATCACTTACAGTTGCAATCTCCTTCACTTTGCTCGCATTTGTCCCATACGACCGCACCAGGTGGTACACCACCGCAGAATCCAGCCGGTACGGCAGGATCCGACGGTCAGGAGCCACCCGCAGTACATCGGCATTCTGCGCCAGCTGGGAGAAGAGGGCCGTGGTGAAGCCAGCCGCTCCTGTGAGGGGCAGATGCTCCGTGACGCTGGGGGGCAGGGCGAGAGCGCTGCTGCTGCCGCTGCTGCTGCTGGTGGTGCTGCTGGTGCTGGTTGATGGATTGGTGGGGTTGGTGGTGGTTGGTGCTGTGAGGTTGCCGACTCGGATGGCTGTGTTGACCGTGTCCTCTGCCATGCTGGACGAGGGAGAGGAGGGGGAGAAATTGAGAAATTGAGGGGGAAGGGTAAACAGAGAGAATGGAGTGGGATGAAAGGGGGGGAAGGGGAAGCAGGAAGGAAGAGAGGTAGGATGGGTGGTTGTGTCATTGGCAAAAACGGTTTGTTGAGAGGCAGACAAGTGAAGAGGGTTGAAATATGTGTTATTTATATGGCAATAATGTAGCAAAGTAAAATCTGTTACACTCACCTCCTGTAAGTGGTCCACTTGCCGCCTGTGACTGTAACCAGAGTACCTCCCTCCACCATCACAGTGTGCTCTCGGACCACATTCGATGTATCTGCCTTGCTCCCTTCCGTCTGCTTCCCCTCCTCTGTCTCAACCTCTTCCGGCTTCCCTGCTCCTGCCGTGCCTCCCTCGGGTTTACCCTCTTCTTGCGCGGGTGTTTTCGTTTTGAGCCCTTTCCGCAGGAGAGGGCGGAGCCCGCCCCAGACAGACAAGACATCTTCCTTGCGCACCTGCATTAACCAAGTTACCACAAGAGGAAAGCGACCATTAAAGCTGACGCAAACACTAGCAAGAGAAAATTCCATGTTAGGCGGTTTGACCGTTAAAGGTTTGGCACATGCTCAGAACCAAAAGGTGTAAAATGTTGGAACCGTTGGTTTGTCTGTACTGATTCAATATTGATTTATTAGCCTCATTAAACTGACATCGAATCCACACAAGCAGTTGCCCTCGTTATACTCACATCCACATCCAGGTAGTTGCTGAGAGTATCCACGATGAACTGAACCTCCGTCTCCGTGGGAACAGGCACATCCACCACCTCCGAAGGCGCATCTGTCGTTCCAGCCACCACCCTCCCCAGCCACCACCTGCCCCAGCCACGGCAGCATGAACATCACCCTCCCCAGCCACCACCCTCCCTAGGGAATAAACTGCGGCATCACACAACGGAATCAAATCCCAATCACTCACATCCACATCCAGGTAGTTGCTGAGCGTATCCACGATGAACTGAACCTCCTTCTCCGTGGGAACAGGCACATCCACCACCTCGGAAGGCGCATCTGTCGTTCCAGCCACCACCCGCCCCAGCCACGGCAGCATGAACATCACCCTCCCGTCCGCCGTCTTCGGTATAAGCAGACCCACGTTTCCGCCGCCGCCGCCGCTGCCGCTGGCGGTGCCTGCCCCCGCACCTGACGTGCTGCCAGAGGCGGCTCCCAGGTAGAAGTCGGGGAGAACGACGTGGGAGCCGGAGGAAGCCAGGACGGCGAGAGGAGTGTTGGGATCCGCCATACGGCGAACGCTGTTTGGGTTTCAGGGGAGAGAGGGGGATTTGGGTAGGTAGCGAGGTGTGAAGTAAGGTGGATTGCGAGCCTGACGTGCTGCCTGAGGTGGCTCCCAGGTAGATGTCGGGGAGAACAACGTGGGAGCCAGAGGAAGCGAGGACTGCCAGGGCATGTTGGGGTCGGCCATACGGCGAATGCTGTTTGAGGGTGGGGGTGGGAGGGGGGGCCGTGATGAGGGAGAGGGGGTAGGGGAGTAGGGGGGTTGGGGGAGATTGCGGTGCAAGGGTTTGTAAGTTGTGAGCCTGACATGCTGCCGCTGGCTGTGCCTGCCCCTGCTCCTGACGTGCTGCCTGAGGCGGCTCCCAGGTAGAAGTCAGGAGAGAGACGTGTGAGCCGGAGAAGGCGAGGTTTTGGGGTGTGGGTGGGTATTGAGGCGAACTGTTTTACACTGTGAGCCTGACGTGTTGCACTTGTTCAGTTGTTCCTTTACTGTCACGATTCTTCCTCCATATGTTCCGCTCTTGTTCTCAAGCACTATGTCACCTTTCACTCCTCACCTTTCACTCCTCACCTTTCATCCCTCACCTTTCAGCCTCTCGCCTGCCCTCCCCCACCCCTTTCTCACCTGTCACAGTAAGCGCCTGTGGCGTTCACCACCACTTTGGCGCGCACATCCACCTGCTTCCCCGTCAGCTCGTCCTTCACCACAGCGCCCTCAACTCGCCCAGTCGGGTCTGTCTTTAACGCGGACACGCTCGCGTGGTTGAGCACAACAGCGCCTGCGCGCGCTGCCGTGGTGGCGAGCGCGAGGTTCAGCCGAGCGTCGTCCATCTGCCCATCGTAATACAGCACTCCAGCTTTCAGCGTACGGCCGTCTGGGGAGGAGGGGTGAGTGGGGAGGTTGAAAGGAAGTTGGGGGCAAGGGGTAGTGCTTCTTTGGGGGACTCTGAGGCAGGCTTGCAACAGTGACCGCTACAGGGTGTTACGCTCTACGCAACTCACCTCGGGCCTTGTGTGCAAGCGTCGGAACCATCCCAGTAGCCTCCGCTGCCGTGACCACGCGGGACATGTAAAGCACTTTCTTCCCCGCTATAATATCATACGCTTTAAGCCCGACCCAGTAGTAGGGCACCTCCCACCAATGATAGCACGGCGTGAGCGTGGGTAACGGCCAGACCAGGTGCGGAGCGTTGCGAATCAGAATGCCTCGCTCCGCCAGGGCTTCGTTCACGAGGCGAAGCTGGGCGAGATCTCTGCGAAGGAAAGCCTTTTCGAGGTAACGAACGCCTGCAGAGAAGGAGGGAAGCGTGGAGGGGGGCACAGGAGAGAAGGAACGTGATTTGTTGCCTGCTGAAAGGACTACAGAAAAAGGACCGTGGGTGTGAGAACACAGAAACCAAAGCTCGTTGAGTGGGTTTTAACAAATAATATTGCCCCACGAATTTCCGAGGGGACTGACCTCCATGAACGAGCTTAGTGCTTCTAGAGGATGTGCCACAACTGAAGTCGTCTCGCTCCACCATCGCCACGTGGAGGCCGCGTGCAGCAGCGTCCAAGGCCACGCCAGCGCCAGTAGCGCCGCCGCCTATAACGAGGATGTCGAATGGCCGCGCAGAGCTGCTCCCTGCGAGAGCTGACATCTGAACCTGCCTCGACGGAACCTCGTCGGCAAGCTCTGGAGGGGAAGAAGCGAAACATTGAGTCTCACATTCAGGAGTTGACATAAGATACGCAAAATCGCATTCAAAAGAGTAAGAACTCAGACACATGGATGTCACTGAAAGTACAGCGTGAAATATGCATCGCAAATGGTGAATCTGTGGAATGTTACGAAGGCTTCTGGTTCAAGACATGCAAAACAATGGAAGACTGACAACACTGTCGAACTACACCGTGACACGTACTGGGAAGGTTCTTAGGAGGGTCGGCATGGCCGGTGGAGTGGATATAAGCCGCGAGAGCAGCAGCTGCGCCTGCTCCTCCGAATAGGACCACCTTGGAGAACAACCGACCAGTTGTGCGAATGCTCATTCTGGCTACCGTGAACTGTTAGCTGATCCGACAAGCTGGATTGAGTTATTGTTCCGTAACGTGATTATCTGACAACTTGGTGCAACGGAATGATCGTCAAGCTGTCGCGACGCGATTCAAATAAACAGGAACGGCACTGCTACATAAGGTTCAACTAGCAATAGCGCAATGCTTGAAATCTCTACTAATAAGTAGACTAGTATCGGGAAAGGCTACTGGTGGCCTGAATATCTCTACTATCAGCGACTGATCAACAATTCTATCCTTGAGAAATGGAATTAGGAGTCAGAGAGGCTCCCGAATTAGACCAGATGGAACAGCAGTGAAAAATCCCCAGGTCAAGCAAATCTCGAGGGGACCTGTCAGACATGTGGACCCGCGATTCCCGAAGTGAGTCTCTTTCCCGCGCATTGCTGGACGGCGATGGGTCATCAATGGCCCAATATGAGTCAGCCTAGGTCCAACAAACCAGCCCCAGGTCCACCGAAATGGCACGTAAGCAGCCACGTGCGAAATAAAGGGGTTGGAATCGTGGTTGGTGGGGCGACATGTGCTGGCAGTCTCGTATATCCATGGTGGCATTGACACGGCGAAAAACAGAACCATGCTTTAGAGTGACTTCCGGATTCCTACAGAATGCTGTGCGTGTATCAAAATCGCCTAACTCTTTTCCACTTACAATATTTGCATCAATACAAAATTGTTTGTGGTGGGCCAAGAAGTCTGGCTTGCTTGGACATTTTGGCCAAATGCCAGTCTTCTACGTACCACTCTGGGGTACTATTCGTTGCAAAAATCTCTTCACACATTTTGATATCATCTCGAAGTAGACCCTGCATGTCAACATAAATGGTGGGTGAGTTTTGAGGGCGAAGGTATGAGTATATCAACAAAGAAAATAAAGAGGTGAAAAAACAAACACAATCAAGTCCAATTCCATACCTGGAAATGGTTAAATAAATGGCCAGATGAGGCAGGCAAGTCTAATCCATTCTCCACTGGCTCAATTGTACGATGCACCTGGATGGATGAATGTGGGATAGGTTGGTCGATGAAGCATACAAACCACATTAGAAAGAAAGGAAGAAACGAAAGAAAGAAAGAAAGAAAGAAACATACAGCACTAATTGATGAAACGGACAGTGCTACTTGCCTGCATGGCTGTGACGAGTTTTGTGTTGGCGATAACTTTTCGATGCCCAAAGTAATTGATGCAATTATCCTCCTCATGACCCGCATTCTTGGGCCCTATGCAGTAGATGTGTGGCCAGTGGAAGGGCATTCGCTCGAGATAAAAGTGATCCGATGGGGGCTGAGGGCTGTGAGACGACAAGAGCAGTGTTGGGTGGGGGATGGGGAAAACAAGAACAGAACTGATTTTGTGAGTTGATCGAAAAAAAAAAAAAAAAAAAAATGATAAAAGTGCCCTGATGGGGGTTGAGAACTGTGGGGCAACGATAGATGTGGGGTTTGGGGATGTCGAGAGGGATGGGTTGGGAACAAATGGAGGAATAAGGTGACGGATGACTGAATGGCAACGCAACAATGATCGCAAAGCCGCATCACCACATTCATATGAGAGTGCTCGTGCAGCAAGCACTCAACTGTAGCACATTCTTCAGTTCACATCACACGCACATCACCCATTCTTACAACACACACTCACCGGCAGCGTTCAATGGACCACCAGAGGCTGCCGAAGGTGATGTAAGGTGCGTTAGAGTGCTCGTGCAGCAACCCTTTAAGGGTCTGGGGCGGCTGAATGTAGAGAAACTCGTCGAAATCGGCAAAAAACACCCACCTGGAGGGTGAGAAAGGGGAGTCGACTCAAAAGTCACTTGAGAGAGGGAGAGATGACGACAGAATGCCTGTGTACTGCCGCCTATATCAATGAAAGGGTTTCGGGCTTTGGGAGAAGACGGCAGAGTGAGGATGCGGAATCTGTTTTTTTTTTTTTTAATCCCAAAAACAGGATGCGAGAGAGAGTGTGTGTGTGTGAAAGGGGGAGTAGAACAGGGTAACATGTGGGGTGAGTGTCTGGGCGGTTGGATATAAAGGAACTTGTCAAAGTCAGGAGAGAACACTCACCTGGAGTAATGGAGGAGAGAGAGAGAGAGGGACAGAGACACAGAGGGTGAGAGGGAGAGTGTGTCAGGACGAGTGAGAGAGGGTAGCAGGTTCAAGAGGAACTCGTCAAATTCACGAAAGAACACCCACCTGACGTGTGAGAGAGAGTGAGGGATGTGACCAAATGAGAGTGTGAAAAAGGTGAGCTTGCACAGGTGGCAGAAACAAACATGAGCTTATAAGAACATGAGCTTATAAGCGACGGATAGAGCAAGGGTGAAAGGAGGGGAGGATGGGACTTACTTGGAGACAAATTTCATTCGATAAAGACAGTTATTCAATACAAGCACGTTCTGCTTGGACTCATATCTGCTCCCAGATGCCCGGGGGGAGTGGAATGAAAAGCAGGAGGGGAATGGGAAGAACAGGGAGATGCAGTGCAGGAGGGAGCAGCACACAGGGAGTGAGCAGCATCACAGGGAGGATGGGGGACGACAGGTAGGGAAAGAGATTCGACAAAAACATCCCCTCTCTGCTCACCTTTCAGAGCCTCCCTTCCTCCCTAACGCCCTAGTTCCTTGTACACCACCCCACTCACTCACACCCCTTCAAACTCACTCGTACCCCTCCACACTCACTCCCCCACTCACTTGTACCCTCCCCGCATGTCCAATATCTCCATCATCCCCGCTGCCATGTACGGTTCCAGGACCTGAGTGAGGGAGCGAGTGAGGGAGCGAGTGAGGGAGCGAGTGAGGGGTCAAGTGAGGGAGTAAGGGAGTGAATGAGGGAGGGAGGGAGGGAGAGAGGGAGGGGGGAAGGGATGGTGGGAGGGAGGGAGAGGGGGAGAGAGGGAGTAAGTGCGGAAGTTTGTTAGAGGGAGGGGTAGAGGGATTGAGTCCGCAAGGACGGAAGGGAGGGAATGAGTGAAGGAGAGAGGTACGCTCTTTGAGTCGACTATCATTATAACGTGAGTGAAGGAGAGGTGCAGACAATCATCACTTCTCCCTTCCTAGCTTCGTTAGCATGGCACAATCGTTCAATACAAGGGTACTATTCTATATATATGCCCTATATATATTCATCGTGCATATATATATATGTATATATACATATTCTTGTTAAAAGGGGCGAGGCGTGAAAATCTCGTGCTTTCTTACGCAGGTGATGTGCGCAGTGCAGGACATAAGTAAGAGTGCAACAAATCACCTCATATACGTCTTCGACGATAGAAGCACCGTCGTTGAGAACAAAATACTCCACGCCCAGGTAATGCAGGGCTATCTGGGGGGTGGGGTGCATGGTGTGGGGCACACGATGTAGGGCACATGGGGTGGGGCACGTGGTGTGGGGCACGTGGGGTGGGGGACAGGTTGTGGGGCACATGGTGTGGGGCACATGGTGTGGGGCACATGGTGTGGGGCACATGGTGTGGGGCACACATGGTGTGGAGCACAGGGTGTGGGGCACACATGGTGTGGAGCACAGGGTGTGGGGCACAGGGTGTGGGGCACACGGTGTGGGGCACAGGGTGTGGAGCACAGGGTGTGGGGCACACGGTGTGGGGCACACGGTGTGGGGCACACATGGTGTGGGGCACACATGGTGTGGGGCACAGGGTGTGGGGCACAGGGTGTGGGGCACACATGATATGGGGAAGAAGAAGTGACCTGAAGCACCATCATTGAGAACAAAACACTCCACGCCCAGGTAATGCAGGGCTATCTGGGGAAGGGAAGTGATAGAGGGAGGGTGGTGTGGGGTACATGGCGTAGGGCAGGTAGCGTGTGGGGAAGAAGGGAGGCCTGGGACAGAAGCACCGTCGTTGAGAACAAAATACTCCACACGCAGGTAATGCAGGGCTATCTGGGAGCGGGGGGAGGTGACTTTTGAGTCGACTCAAAAGTCAGCGGGGGGAGAGAGCGAGGACGGTGCGTGGACTGGGGTGTGAGAACAGAATAATTCACGCCCAGGTAATGCAGGGCTATCTGGGGAAGGGAAGAGATGGAGGAAGGGATGTGGCCGAGGTGTGAAGCTTATGCTGTGGGGCACACATGGTGCGGAAAGGACATATGGCGTGGGGTACATGGTATGGGGCTTATGGTATGGTATGGGGCATATGGAATGGGTGGGGCATATGGTATGGGGCCATATGGAATGGGGCATATGGTATGGGGCCATATGGAATGGGGCATATGGTATGGGGCCATATGGAATGGGGCATATGGTATGGGGCCATATGGAATGGGGCATATGGTATGGGGCCATATGGAATGGGCCATATGGTATGGGGCCATATGGAATGGAGCATATGGTATGGGGCCATATGGAATGGGGCATATGGTATGGGGCCATATGGAATGGGGCATATGGTATGGGGCCATATGGAATGGGGCATATGGTATGGGGCCATATGGAATGGGGCATATGGTATGGGGCCATATGGAATGGGGCATATGGTATGGGGCCATATGGAATGGGGCGCACATGATATAATCAGCGCAGTCATACGTGTAACAACCACAGTCATACGTGTAACCCGCAGTCATACGTGTAACCAGCTCAGTCATACGTGCAACCAGCACAGTCATACGTGTAACCAGCACAGTTATATGTGTAACCAGCACAGTCATACATGTAACCACCACAGTCATACTTGTAACCAGCACAGTCATACGTGTAACCACCACAGTCATACTTGTAACCACCACAGTCATACTTGTAACCAGCACAGTCATACATGTAACCACCACAGTCATACTTGTAACCAGCACAGTCATATGTGTAACCAGCACAGTCATATGTGTAACCAGCACAGTCATACGTGTAACCACCACAGTCATACGTGTAACCACCACAGTCATACGTGTAACCAGCGCAGTCACACGTGTAACCAGCGCAGTCACACGTGTAACCAGCACAGTCATACATGTAACCAGCACAGTCATACATGTAACCACCACAGTCATACGTGTAACCAGCACAGTCATACTGGTAACCAGCACAGTCATACGTGTAACCACCACAGTCATACCAGTAACCAGCCCAGCCATGCATACCTGCAGCCACTCCTGGATGGTCTTTGGGTTGAGATGGCGGTACAAGGGGTAGGAGCAGAAGGCCAGGTGGTATGGGGGGAGTTTTGAGTCGACTCAAAACTCGACTCACTACACTCTGATTGAGGTGGCGGTACAAGGGGTAGGAGCAGAAAGCCAGGAGGTAGGGGGGGGGGGGTGTTGCGTTGACAGGTGTGTGTGGTAACCAGCCCAGTCATACATGTACCCACTGCACCCAGCCATACCTGCAGCCACTCCTGGATGGTCTTGGGGTTGAGGTGGCGGTACATGGGGTAGGAGCAGAATGCCAGGTGGTAGGGGGGAGGTGCATCGATGGCAAACTCGTCCTGCCCCTCCTCGTGCATCACCACTGCCTGCTCGTCTGTGGGATGGGGGGAGGTAAAGACCCATCTGCACCGATTTGAACCCATTTAGATTCTCCAAGGGAGGTGTATCGATGGCAAACTCGTCCTGCCCCTCCTCGTGCATCACCACTGCCTGCTCGTCTGTGGGATGGGGGGAGGTAAAGACCCATCTGCACCGATTTGAACCCATTTAGTTTCACCAAGGGAGGTGCATCGATGGCAAACTCGTCCTGCCCCTCCTCGTGCATCACCACTGCCTGCTCGTCTGTGGGATGGGGGGAGGTAAAGACCCATCTGCACCCATTTAGATTCACCAAGGGAGGTGCATCGATGGCAAACTCGTCCTGCCCCTCCTCGTGCATCACCACTGCCTGCTCGTCTGTGGGATGGGGGGAGGTAAAGACCCATCTGCACCGATTTGAACCCATTTAGATTCACCACGGGAGGTGCATCGATGGCAAACTCGTCCTGCCCCTCCTCGTGCATCACCACTGCCTGCTCGTCTGTGGGATGGGGGGAGGTAAAGACCCATCTGCACCGATTTGAACCCATTTAGATTCACCAAGGGAGGTGCATCGATGGCAAACTCGTCCTGCCCCTCCTCGTGCATCACCACTGCCTGCTCGTCGGTGGGATGGGGGGAGGTAAAGACCCATCTGCACCGATTTGAACCCATTTAGATTCACCAAGGGAGGTGCATCGATGGCAAACTCGTCCTGCCCCTCCTCGTGCATCACCACTGCCTGCTCGTCTGTGGGAGAAGGGGGAAGAAGGAGAGGGGGAGGGGGAGAGTAAAGACCCATCTGCACCCATTTGAACCCATCTCGCCTCCCAAAGGGAGGTGCATCGATGGCGAACTCGTCCTGCCCCTCCTCGTGCATCACCACTGCCTGCTCGTCTGTGGGATGGGGAAAGTGGAGAGGGAGGGAAGGAGGAAGGGAGGGAGGAATGGAGGGAGGGATGGAGCGAGAAAGGGAGGGAGGGAGAAAGGGAGGGAAGGAAGGAGGGAGGAAGGGAGGAGGTAGGGAGGAAGGGAGGGAGGGAGGTAGGAGAGAGGGAGGGAAGGAGGCAAGGAGGAACTGAAGGACGGACGGAGGATTGTAAAGAGGTGAAACCCAACTGGATGGAACCACAGCGATGAAGGCAATCCACGCAAATCTGAGGCTCTCTCACTCACCTTCACCACCCTCACTCCCTCCCTCACTCAGCCCCTACCTAGCATGAGAATGGCAGTGCCTCCAGTGGTGCCTGCGCTGTTGACCAGCAGAGTATTACTGAAGGCAATGCAGGAAAACCTATGATCTCTCTCACTTAACCCACACTCGTACAGCAACTGCAGTGCCTAGAACTGACCTAGCATGAGAATCGCAGATCCTCCAGTGGTGCCCGTGCTGTTGACCAGCAGAGTACACTCGTAAATGGCAGTCTCGTACAGCAGCCAGTGGTGCTCCGCAGGGTAAATTACCCTCACTCTGCCCTCTGCGTACCCCCCATCCAGTGCTATCCAGTAGCACTTGCTGGCCTGCAAAGAGCACAATGGGAAAGAGAGGGGGGGAAAACACTTCAGATATCAAGTAGCAAAATGGAAAAAGGGCATAAAAGTGGTCTCAGATCAAATAAGAATAAGAAGATGGGCATAGAAGTAATCAACCCCATTGCGTGTCAACTCATCCCTCCCACTGCGTGTCAACTCATCCCTCCCACTGCGTGTCAACTCACCCCATTGAGTGTCAACTCACCCCATTGAGTGTCAACTCACCCCATTGAGTGTCAACTCACCCCATTTAGTGTCAACTCACCCCATTTAGTGTCAACTCACCCCATTTAGTGTCAACTCACCCCATTTAGTGTCAACTCACCCCATTTAGTGTCAACTCACCCCATTGAGTGTCAACTCACCCCATTGAGTGTCAACTCACCCCATTGAGTGTCAACTCACCCCATTGAGTGTCAACTCACCCCATTGAGTGTCAACTCACCCCACTGTCTGAGACCTCACCCCACTGCGTGTCAACTCACTTGCGTGTCAACTCACCCCTCTGCATGTCAACTCACCCCGCTTCCTCCCTCTTCCTTTAGATCACGCAGCGAGTGACCCACAGCCGCAAACTGGTTAGCACCGATGCGGTAACCACCCGCCATGACGAACCGGTGCTGGCCAATGGGAGCGCCCGAGACAGGTGGCGGCTCCTGATAGGCCCGCTGCAGAAACGGCCGTTTTGTGAGGCAGGGATTGGATATTGATCCGATGTGGCGCATGTTACCCCCTTCCAGGTCAGCATCTGGGAGGAGAAGGACGGGAAGGGGGAGGAAAAGGATCATGAGGATGGGAAAAAAGGAGGAGGAAAATAAAAATCCGAACAAACAAAAAACAAAAACTAAAAAAAGGCCCTGCTTAGCACCCCTCACCCGTTATAAGCACCTGTTCTGTACTCGAGTTTCCTTGTATTAAGCTCCTCAGGTTGACCCGGTAAAAACACCCCTTGCTTCTGCACCTGCTGCCAAAGCCTCTTATTCAGCTTTGCCTGAGGCGGGGGAGAAAGAAATGGTTTCCGCCTAACAGCTCCTCCCCCACGTCCTCCCCCGATCAACCTTCCCCCCGCTCCCCCTCGCGTCCATCCTTCCCCTTTCCCCTGGTCCGAGCGCCTGGAATTTTCGTAAGAACCGGCGCCATTCCCGCCGTGTTTCGCGCCGCTGGTTCCCGGATGTCCGCGCTGCTGGCGCATCAGCTGCTTCCGCGCAAGCTCCGCGCTGGACTGGCGGAGGAGCTTCTCACGGTCGTAGCTGGCGGAGATGTTGAGAATGGCCAGGAGAATCAGCGACGGCCCGAACAGAACAATACACGTAGTTAATAGCGAGACGCGAGGACGACCTGATGTTTCTCTAGGTGATGCTGCTCCTTCCGGATCAGATTTTCCTGCTGCTGACGGTAACGCGGAGGAGGAAGCGTGTTGGTCTGGTTTATTGAGTACCAGCTTAGCAACTTCTGTTTTACTGGGGACTTTTTGAAACGGAGCGACATTTCGACGGTGTGTCGTCGACGACGAGCCGCTGTCTTCGCCAGGGTAACCCTCCGACACCATTTTCGCTCAGAAAAAAGAAATACACCTGCCGGAAGCTCTGTGGGTAACAGATGTAACAGAAATGACGCCCGAAGCGCCGTCGCAGTATGTTAAACGCGGACACTGAATGACTGCAGGTGTCTCGGCCGACATTCTCCCGCATATACCCTAATGCAGCTAACCAATTATCATTCTGAAGTCGAATGAATAATTACCTCCTTCATGTGCCTCAATTCCAGCAAATTTGGACCTCTGTCAACAAGAGCTAGAACGTCTATTTCTGGTTCCACAAAAAACACTTCATCACGCCATGAGAACTACGCTACCACCAGCCAAATTGGCGGTTACAGAGAATTCTCACGAACTAGGTACCTGGTAAGTACACCAATTAAAGCCACTGGTAGTCAGGTCATTCATGCCAGAATATGATGGTGGCAGTCCTAGTTTGCTGGAGAATAATGCTCAAAGAGTACCTTTAAATATTCTCCAGATAGTCCTGTTGTGAAGTCACACGAGTTAACTTTATGTCTAGTACAAGCGGTTGAGTACGATAATGTGCGTTCTGAAGCGTTTTTCAAGGATAACCGCTTTGTACAGCTAGTCACCATCCTGAAAACCTTGATTCATGAACTGTGAACGAGCTCTTCTGAAGGCAGGTGCAGCATGGCATGGTGGGGTTCGAGAAGCCAGGCTCAACTCTCTAGCAAATGAACGGTTTGGTATGTTCCAGGTAGCACGAGAGCGGTACGGCTAGGTGTCGGGGAGTAAAAGAAGCACCACCTCATCTTACATGTGAATAGAAACGTCCTCAGCTAAACCCTGTGCACTATTTTGGAGTCATCGGATTCAAGGCAGGAGTTATTCGATTCTCCAATCAAATGTGTTGCAGGTCTCTGTTCCGTTCCCGTTGGCACAATCTAGGACCGCAACTTGCACTCTTCCGACCGTCGATCCGACAGATCCGACTGAAGGTCCTCATTTCGATCGTTTTAGTGTACGGAAAATCAGGGCCTCCAGTTGCACCTCGTAGGCCCTGTTCGGTAGCCCTCCCAGTCACACCGCGGTTGGTGCGTGGGATCTTCTGTTTCCTAGATTCAAATCGATTAAGGCCCAACAAACCGTTATTAGAACACCGAGCCTATCCAGTGCAACTGGGCTACCGAACGCATAAAAACCCCACTTCAACTGCGTGCTAGGACACTACCACGAAACTGTCGCGCCCAGGCAAACTCGACAGTCAGTGGAAGTCCCTCCCATTTCAGCTTTCCAGTTCAACCCAGGCAGGCCCGCTCAGAGTGGCAGGCTGGAGGGTATGCGCTGCACTAGTTTCGAATCGGGTCAAATTAAAGCCCGAGGTCAGCATGGTAAAATAACAAGTTATGTGGGTTTGAAATAGTGTTGGCGAAACATTGAAAACAATAATTTCGGCAAAGTCAGTGTAGCGAGAAAGGGATGGGTTGACGAGGGGGAAAGGGGTCTCGCCAAACGTGACGCAAAGATCTGCGACTGGAATGAGTGTCGCTAGGATTGTTCTTCAGCCAATCAGGTTCAAGTAGGGGAGAATGTCCTCGCACAATCCAACTACCAGCAAGAACGAAACGGAAAGCACCTACCCCCTCACAAGAAAAACCACGGTCAAACAAGCTAACCACTTCGCGTGTGACATAACCGCAGTAGCTAGCAACAACAGAAATTTTTAACGTAGGTGACGTGCCATAACATGTGCATGCGTGGTCGATGAAAGGAGCGTTGAGAAGAGCGCGAAACAGCGCGATATGGGAGTACTGAGGCGACTCGACACGGTGACTGTGGAAGGCGGAGAGGGAGGGGAGAGGCGGAAAAAAGACTGCGTCGGCGGGGGAAATCGGCTCTGATCGCGCGATGGGAGAGCTGTCCGCTGGCGCAACTTGCGGCAGACGCAACGCCAGACGGTGGAGGAGAGGAGCAGATACCGGGGGTGGAATGGGGAAAGGGGGGGAGAAAAACGGGGCCTTTGCGCGCGACAGGAGAGATGCTCCGCTTGTGACGTGATCTGCGGCAGGCGCATTAGCGCGCTTCCGCTCCTTATCACACAGGCGTGCGCTGCTCACGGACAGAGCTGAATAAGGCACGGAAGGGGATTACACGCGGAAGGGTATAACGCGCGGAAGGGGATGAGGCACGGAAATTGATGATGCGCGGAAGGGGATGAGGCACGGAAATTTATGACGCGCGGAAGGGGATGAGGGGCGGAAGGGGATGAGGCGCGGAAGGGGATGACGAGGAAGGGGATGAGGCGCGGAAGGGGATGAGGCGCGAATTCCCCTGATTCCCCTCCTTTCCCCCCTTCCGTCGCCTCATTTCCACCCTTGCTTCCTCTCCTTTCCCCCCCATGCTTCCCCTCCCTTCCCCCCCTAATTCCCCTCCTTTCCCCCCCCTGCTTCCCCTCCTTTTCTCCACTGCCTCCCCTCCTTTCCCCCTGCTTCCCCTCCTTTCCCTCTCTGCTCCCCCTCCTTTCCTCCCTTGCTTCCCCTCCGTTCCCCCCTTGCTTCCCCTCCTTTCCGCCCCTGTTTCCCCTCCTTTCCCCCCTTCCTTCGCCTCCTTTCCCCCCATGCTTCCCCTCCTCTCCCCCCCTCCTTCCCTTCCATTGCCCCCTTGCTTCCCCTCCTTTTTCCCCTTGCTCCCCCTCTTTTCCCCCCTTTCTCCCATGCTAACCCCCTGTTCCCTCCCTCGTCCTATCTCCTCACTTGCACCCTTCCTCTCTTCCGCACTCCCCCCTTTCCTCTCTGTCCCACCTTTCCTCCCTTGCTTCCCCTCATTTCCTCCCGTGCTTCCCCTCATTTCATCCCGTGCTTCCCCTCATTTCCTCCCGTGCTTCCCCTCATTTCCTCCCGTGCTTCCCCTCATTTCATCCCTTGCTTCCCCTCATTTCCTCCCGTGCTTCCCCTTATTTCCTCCCGTGCTTCCCCTCATTTCCTCCCGTGCTTCCCCTCATTTCCCTCCCTGCTTCCCCTCATTTCCCCCCCTGCTTCCCCTCATTTCCCCCACTGCTTCTCATCATGTCCCTCCCTGATTCTCATCATGTCCTTCCCTGCTCTCCCATATCTCCCATATCTCCCCTGTTTGACCTTTTTCTTGTTCCCCTGTTTGACCTTTTTCTGATACTGCAACTCGCCTCAGCCCATCATCCCATGCCATGCTCGTAGAGAAACCAGTTCCTTTCGTGTTTTTTCAAGGCCTTGAGAAAGGTACAATAAGAAGTATTTGGAACATGCCTCTATGTACCCTTCTGATCTGACACTCTTAGTGTCCATGCATCTTGTAAGAATATCTTGCAGTACAGAAACACAAGTACATAATGTTCCTTTGAGATGGATATCTCCAGCAGTAACGGAGTATCTGTTGTTGCATACAACACACAAGAAACAGGTGGTGGTACGGTATAAAGCATCGACCAGCTGCGCCTCAGCTTGCTCCTCTGCTTCACCACTGAAAATTAGGGAAATTGAGTAAGCAGAAAGGATTGTGTGAAGAAACATGGGGGAGGTGGTGTGAGGTGCCACTGAACACCCGCAAGGGGATACAAGCAAGCGCACACGATGAAATCATGTATGGGGAAACAGTGATGGATGGGTGCACATGCATGGGAACTAGAGGGCGGAAAGTGAGAAATGAGGGGGAAGGGGAGGGCATGAAAAGGAAGGAAGGGTTGAGAAGGGATGAGGAAGGGAAGGGTAGGGCAGGGAGGGAAAGGCAGGGATTGGGAGGGCAGGTGGGAACAGGGCAGAGGGTCGGGGGAAGGAGGGCTGAGGGTCGTGGGAAGGAGAGTGAGAGTGCGAGAGGACGGAGAGAGAGTGCGAAAGGACTGAGAGAGGGAAGGGGATGGGGGGAAGCAGGGAAGGGGATGGGGGGAAGCAGGGAAGGGGATGGGGGGAAGCAAGGAAGGGGATGGGGGGAAGCAGGGAAGGGGATGGGGGGAAGCAGGGAAGGGGATGGGGGGAAGCAGGGAAGGGGATGGGGGGAAGCAAGGAAGGGGATGGGGGGAAGCAGGGAAGGGGATGGGGGGAAGCAGGGAAGGGGATAGGGGGAAGCAGGGAAGGGGGCCGGGGGAACGGGGGCAAATGACGGGGAGAGAGCTGGAGGGAGGATGGTGTGGGGGCCGAGGAAGAGAGGACGGGAGTGAGCAGGGTGTTTTAGAGAATTCTCAAAAACACCCTGCAGCATAATGTGCAGACTATGCCATCTCATCCCATGCTCCATCCCTCCATCGCACACAATCCCTCCATCTCACACCATCACCCAATTTCAAATCACCCCCCCGTCTCACACAATCCATCCAACCCCCTCCCATCCAACACCATCTTTCAAACCCCCTCTGTCCATCCCTCTCTCTCCCTCCTCCTCTCTCCCTCCCCCTCTCTCCCTCCCCCTCTCTCCCTCCTCCTCTCCCCCTCCCCCTCGTTCCCTCCCCCACTGTCTCCGTCCCTCTCTCCCTCCCCCTCTCCCTCCCCCTCTCTCCCTCCCCCTCTCCTCCTCCCCCTCTCACCCTCCTCCTCTGTCCCGTGTATGTGGGGTGGAGGAGGGCGGGTATGTCGGGGGGAGGAGGACGGGTATGTGGGGGGGAGGAGGGCGGGTAGGAGGAGGAACACGAGGGCGTGTGGTGTTGGGCGAAGGCGGGTGGTGCGGGGGGAGGAAGGTCGGTGCTGTGCGTGGGGGAAGGCAGGTGGTGTGGGGAGAAGAAGATGGGTGGTATATGTGGGGGGGAAGGCGAGTGGTGCGTGGTGGGAAAGCCGGGCGACGGGGGGAAACGTGGGAGACGGCATCCTGGGGAATCGCGGGCGGCGTGGGGAATTGCGGGCGACGAAGGAAAGCGAGAGAGACGAGGGGGACAGGGGAATTACGGGCGAAGCGGGGATTTACGGGCGACTAAAATATATATGTATATGTGAAAAAAAAAAACCAAGATTGATTTTAAAAAGAACGCTTTTTCAAGGGGAATTATGGTCGACGAGGCGAAATAGGGCGACGACCAGGGGAGATGAGGGTGACGCGGAAGGCTTAGTATGGACCTAGCGTGGCCGACAGCAAGAGACGCGAGGGTGATGGAGAGGGACGACGGGCAACGAAAGCGACGACAAGAGAAGAAGCGAGGGCGGCAGGTAAAGAGGGACGAGTGATCAGTGATGGTAGGGATCGAACGACGGGAGGGAATGTAAGCGGGATCGCGACTAGCGACTCGAAAATGCCATTTACGAGCACTGCGCGTGTCGTGCGCTAGAACGGACGTTCCGTGTCTGGCATGCGAAAATGGTGCGGTAATAGCGTGTTTGGCATGAAGTTGTGCTGCTCAGCTATTGGCAAGACAGCGTGAGTGAGTAGAGTTGGATGGAAAAAAACGCCTCTACCAGAGCTAGCCTTTATCGCCCTGCCGTGCGTTTCCTAGTTACGCGAGTAGTCTAGTGGGCTAGGAGTACTACTTGGTTTTCAAGATATGTGAGAGGAGATTGGGGCAACCTAGTGAGCGATGGTCGGATCTGTTGTGCGACTGGGCTCAAAAACCAATCAAGATCGACCGTCGCAAGCGTTTTCCCCTGCCTCACGAGTTGTGTTTCAAACCAAAGAGGGTAACCCTGTTTTTGGCGACTTCAAGTTCAAGAATCTTGAACTTGAAAAATACCATGCTGTACCCGGGCTTTAAGGTTTTTTAGCACGCTCTTTCAAACAATGAGAGGTCGTGCCCGTTCCTGATTTTCCATATCCATATCGACGGTTTCTCATTTGGCGGACTGACTTTTTGTGTGTGGGTGGGGCAGCTTCGTACAGCAGTAAAAGTTTCGGCAAGTAATTTCCCACGAAACGTACGGTAACTTCTTGCATTTGGGAACGGAACTTCTTCTCAGTGTGAGTGGACGCCCGAGGCTGCGAAACATGTCGTAGGCTTCCCCAGTTCGAGTGGGCCCAGTGTAACTGGATGGCTACCGAACAGGGCCGTAGAGTCTGAAGTACAGTCTAAGTCCCAAACCTGTAAGAAATTTGATTCTCTCCACTAAACAAAGCAAACTTGCATCCAGTCTATAGTGATATACCACCAGCTGAAAACTCTGGAACCTGCACACACAATAGAGGAAAGGGAGGCAAACTTGTATTGCTAAGACAGACTTGTGTTCACATCAAGAGAAAAGACAATGCCTTGATGAGTACGAAGAGGAAACGAATGAGAGAAATATTTAAAAAAAGGAAACAATTTCAAACACAAAGCGACCTGCAACTTCTAAATCACAACAGCAGCTTACTGGTCTGGGAGGGAGTGATGAAATCCAGTCAGCAGGACGAGTCGGAAGCAATCCCAATCCATTCAACTGCGTGGTAGGAAAATGCAACCAGGAAAGATAGCTCAAGAAATTATTCGGAAAGAGCTAGCAACCGAAGCAAGAAGGCCTAGAGCTCAAAATTACAAGGAATAGCAAGGAGTAGCTAGGGGGGTAGCAGGGGGGTAGCAAGGGTTGCACGGATAGCAAGGAGTGGTATGCGGTAACAAGCAGTGGCAAGAGAGGAGCACCTTCCAGAGGCCGATGGAGAGGAGGAAGAGGTTGACTGCGGCATACATCATCTTTGGCAGCACCACATCCACCTTGGGGTCCTTGAACGGCTCAAATGCTGCAGGGGAGGAGGAAGGGAAGAAAACCGCACATGAAACAGCACAGTAACACAAGCGCATGAATAGCAGGCCCACGGAGGAATAGAGAGTTGACTCAAACATACATCTTCTTGGGCAGCCCAACGTCCACCTTGGGATCCTTGAACGGCTCACACGCTGCAGAGGGGATGGGGAACAGCACATAAAACACACACGCATGACACTCAAGCACATGAATAGCAGGTCGATGGGAAGGAGGGAATGGTTGACTGCCGTGCACATTAGCTTCGGCAGCACCGCACCACGCCCACCTTGGGGTCCTTGAACGGCTCAAACACTGCAGGGGAGAGGAGGGGGAAGGGGGGGGAGGGGAGGAGGGGAGGGTAGGGGGATGGGGAGGTGGGGGGGTGGGGGGGAAGAAAAGCAGATGGTTTTTTAGTCGACTCAGAAGGTACCTTGGGGTCGTTGAACGACGCAGCAGAGGCTGCAGGAGGCGGGGAAGGAAGGGGACCGCCCAAGGGAACTGGAATAGGTGGCAGCGTTGATGGTCCTGAGGGCGGAGATGGGCTGCCAGAGGTTGGAAAGGTAATTCCGATGCTGAAAAGGTGCACTGAGCTACTATAGTTCTGAGACACCCAGAAAGAAGATGATGGTCCGGTAGCAGCGCTGATGGTCCTGAGGGCAGAGATTGGCTGCCAGAAGTTGGAGAAGGTGATTCCGACGCTGAAAGTGTGCACGCTACTAAAATTCTGGGGCACTCAGACATATGTGCAGGCATGGACTGAGACACCCAGACACATGCCTGCATTGATGGTCCTCAGTGCCGAAACCAGTTGCAAGAGGCTGGAGACAGCGACCGTGCTGAAGCTGTGCATTGAGCTACTATTGTTCTGAGACACATACCTGCATTTCTGGTCCGTAGGAGGATACCCGCGGAGACGGATGCCAGAGGATGGAGCAGGTGATGCTGCTGCTGAAGATGCAAATAAACACACTAGAAATCAGAAACACCCAGAAACATGTGTAGGCATGAGCTGAGACACCCAGACTGACCAATACCATACCAGCATTGATGGTCCGTAGTGCTGAGATGGGTTGCCAGAGGATGGAGAAGGTGATTCCGATGCTGAAAAGATGCACTGTACTGCCGGCCATCCAGAGCATGAATCCCATCATGAGGAGATTCTTGGTGGGAGACTGGGCCAGAGCCCATGCACGCTGAAAGAGGAAGGGAAACGGGGTCACAAATTGAAAAATGGGATGCTGAAAAGATGCACAGAGCTGCCGGCCATCCAGAGCATGAATTCCATCATGAGCAGATTCTTGGTGGGTGACTGGGCCAGAGCCCAGGCACGCTGAAAGAAGAAGGGAAATGGGGTCACAAGTTGGACAATGGGATGGTGAAGATGTGCCCGGTGCTGCCAGGCCAGCCATCCAGAGCATGAATCCCATCATGAGGATATCCTTGGTGGGAGACTGGGCCAGGGCCCAGGCACGCTGAAAGGGGAGCAAACGCAGAAGAGCACTTCGAATACAGCTGCCAACCATCCAGAGCATGAATCCCAGCATGAGGAGATTCTTGGCAAGTGACTGGCCCAGGGCCCAGGTACGCTGAAAGGAAAGGCAATGAGGAGAGGAAAAACGGGAAACGAGGGGGGAAGTGAACAGAACATGAATTCCATCCAGTTTGCTGTGAAATGATCGGGCCCTACTCACCTCCTGCTTCTTTGCTGGGTCAAGGGCCTTATCTTTCTGTGTCAGCGCCTTGGATCCGCTGCCACTGGACGCCTGATTCAAGCACAGGCGATACAAGAACCACACACTTTAAGCACACGCGATACAATCACACAAGATACGAGTACATGCACCACCTACAATAACAGTGAATACCTAGAACCTGCACGAGACGGAAGCACTTAACGGGCGCATGAGTCTATATCAGAGCCAAAGCGGATCATGGGCCTATCGCGAATTCTGACCGTCTCGGGAACGGTTACACGCATCCGGTTACCAGATTACAGTTACGGGCAGTTACTCGCTCACCAGTTCTGCCGCGTTTCGGTTGAATCCAGGCGGATCGGGAACGTCCCTCGAGATCCCCGACGCCACGTCCGCCAGGTCGACGGCCCATCGGCGCGCTTCCTTCTTCCCGTTCGCAGACATGCCTCACGACTGTCGCAAGAGTACGAAGTTTCCAGGCGCTGCGACGAACGCCTGAGACGTTTTAACGACAAGCCGAGCGACAAGCTACGACTAACGACGACACGCGAAAATAAACGCAAGCGCAAACAGGCGGTTGCTTATTCGAAAGGATGTTGATATTTTACAAAGACGACGCCAAATGCCCAATATAGCGTGCTCCGATATGTCTGCGAGTTTATTGAGACAGTCCCTAACTGACTGACAGTACCACCTAGGGTATGTCGGCACCACCGTACAGCAATCTGACTCCGCTACACCCTGAAGAAAACACCGTTTCGAGATCGCACCCCATATGAAACAGAGATTGACCAGGTAAATTGCAAAATTATCAGCAAAACAAAATTAGGATTTACACCTGCACTGTAGTGGTGGACTGATACACTGTGCGGAACCTATGTAAAGCATGTCAGATCTGGACGCACAACCCGTACATTGTTCAGCGGTGGCAACTTTATCTACGGTATACGGAAGACAGGGAACAATGCCCTAACGCGCTCAATTTGACTTTAAACAATTCGCACTCCGTATCCTCCGCAAGTCAGCAAATTGCTGACTGAAGCAGCCGCCTTAATTAGCGTAATCAGGCATGGCCGAGACCATAGGCTGTGCTCTGTACTGTACACCAGAAAGCAGCCTCCACTGCTAAGCTTCTGCTTCACACCCCCAGGTTAAACAAGAAAAAAAGAGGCACTTGTTACAATTCAAACGCCTGCTGCTGGGTGGTAGACAGGCACCTTGCAGGTCTTTCAACTCGGCACCAGCACCGCAGACTGCAGTAGGCGGTAACCAGCACAGCAGAAATGCAGACTCCAGAGCAGGTATGACTGATGAGTCATAACCCAGGTCATGCTTTCGCCCGGCCGTTTAGTACAATACTGTGCTGAGCCATTGACGGAATGGCCACAGGCTGGTTGGCTGTTGTGCAGCAGGACAATGGCAGTTGGTCAAGCAGGAGTGAAAGTCGAAGCATTGTTGTTTCCACTACCGCTTGCACGGCTGGCATCACTGTTGTCTCTACTGCTGCTGTTTGCAGTGCTACCACTGGTACTGTTGCTGCCACTGCCGCTGCCACTGCTGCTGCTTTCAGTGTTGCTGCTGCTGCTGCTACCGGCACTACCACTGCTCCCACTGCTGCTAGTAGCAGCGCTGGGCGGGGCAGTGATGTCGTATTTGCAAAGGGGGCAGGTGGGGCGGGTGCGCAACCACTTGTCAACGCAGGCGGAGTGGAAGTGGTGTGAGCAGGGCAGCTCCCTCAGCAGCACTGCGTCCTCGTATGGCCCCAGGCAGATGCAGCACTCCTGCGAGGATGAGAGGATGGGAAGATGGGAGGGATGGGAGGATGAGAAGGGAGAGGATGAGGAAAACATGAGGGGAAGGGTAATGGGTCTGAGCAGCACCAGCACTGCGTCCCCATGTGCTCCCAGGCAGATGCGGCGATTCTGGGAGAGAGAAAAGGCGGACAACTGTGCATCACAACTGGGAGGGAGCTAAGAGCGAGAAGGGAGAGAGGATAACGCAATGGTGGAAACTGAGGATGGGAAACTCAAGAACACATTCAGAGACTCTGAACGTGGTGCAAAAATGGAATCGCCTAAGAAAAGAGTGTGAAGGGGAGGGGGGAGGAAGGGTTGGGGGGAAGAATGGCGAGAGGAGATACAGCAAAGGGAGCTGAGAAGGAAAGTGCCAACCCACCCCATCCCCAACCCACTTCATCCCCAACCCATTCCATCCCCAACCCACCCCATCCCCAACAGACCGAATCCCCGCCCACAGCAACGGGTATCAACGTACCGCATCATCGTCTGCCACTTCTCTCTCCCGCGGCGGCTGGCTCGACCCTCCCACTTGCGTCATAACGCCCCCTGCCGGCTCGTCGATCGTCACCCGAACCTCATCCTTCCCCTCGGCACCCGCACTGGCCGTTCCCTTTCCACTGCTGCCCCCCGTATCACCACTGCTGTTTCCATCATCACAGCTGCTACCCTTCGCCGCACTGCTATTTAGCCCACTACTGCTGCTGGCGTTGGTGGTGGTGCTGCTGCTGGTGGTCGCAACGCCTAGCGCCTCCGTGATGGCGGAAAGGGCGGCGGACGCGGTGAGCGGGCGGCTGCTGCTTGGCGGAGAGCCTCGCCGGCGGAACTTGAACTGCGGGAGGGACTGAATCTGCTCGTTCGTGGCACCTTCCTGTTCGCCCATGGCATAGAGAACCGCGATGATGCAGGGCAGGCAGCAGCACACGGCGATGCCCACCAGACACGCGAGCGCGATGCAGAAGATGACGAAAAACACGTCGAACGCCAGAAACGACATGCACACCCTGCGAATTGGGTTGCCGGGGAAACGGTGGAATTTGAAATGTTATGTCGCGTGAATCACCACCGCAACGACGTCGAGAATGAGAGAGCAAGAAATGACATCCACACCCTGCGGACTGTGATTTGGAAAAACGGTGGGATTTAAACGGCTTATGCCGTGAATCACCACCACAAAGACGCCGCATATGGGAGCGTCTAGATGCAAAACCATCAGGAAAGAATGGGAGCGTCTGAGAAAGTTTTACCAGGAAAGAATGGGCGCGTCTTCGAAGGTGTCGTCGAATGTGGAGATGATCCACGCGAACCCGACGGACCACCAGAGGAACGAAAAGACGGTGTTCGCCGACTCGATTTGCTTCGCAATGCTGCGAGCACACACACAGGCAAGAAGAACAGTCCAAGATCCCGGCACTGAGTTGCTGGGTGTTGCACTGGTACCATCAAGCAAAGCGACGACCGACGACCGAAGAGCGACGACCGACGACCGACGACGACAATGATCACAAAGATAACATCGCCGTTACTTTTGCGTCGCGCCTCGAAAAGGCCACATATGCGTTCGCCAGCAGTACCTGTCAATCCGATCATCTTCTATCCGCTGCTCCCCCGTACTCCCCTCCGCTTCCTGCTCCTCGTCATCGCTCCCTCTTTGCAACAACCCCTCTCGAATATCCCCCGAACTCCCACTCCCCCCTGCTCCCCCTCCCCTGCCTCCCCTCCCTCCTCCTCCGCTCGCGCTCCGCAACCCGCGGAGCCCTCGTCTGCTGCTCCTGCTCGCTCCGCCGCTCCTCCTCGCCCGGCTCCGGTCGCTCCTGCGCTCCTCCGCTCCGCCTTGCTGCCGGCGGTCGAACTCCACGAGCACGCAGACGATGTGGATGATGCACTGCGCCGAGTACCCCATGAGCCACACGCCCAGCGGAGCGGCCGGTTCCTCCTTGTGGTTGCGGCTCACGGAGAGCGTCGCGATGGCGACGAGAACGAAGATGAGGTTCCAGAGCGTGTCGAGGAGCACGATGGGACGGGAATAGGCCCAGTTGCTCTGGCGCTCTTCCAACTGCAGCAGAGAGAGAAGACAGAGCAGGACAGAGCAAGAAGATGAGGTTCCAGAGCGTGTCGAGTAGCACGATGGGACGGGAATAGGCCCAGTTGCTCTGGCGTTCTTCCAGCATAAAGAAAACGGCATAAAGAAAGAAACGAAGAGAGAAAACTAGGTACGGCGAGAAACGGAAAGGTGACAGAACTTTGACAAGAAACAACAAGAAAGAACGTGTAAAGAAGGAGCTCATCAGCTGCGTACCTCTTCCGACGCCGTATCGCGAACCCGTATGGACTGCTGCCGCATCAACCGCTGGCTGCTCGCCTGACGAATCAGCCTCGCCGCTCCTAACGCGACCGCACCTCCCGTTCTAGGCACCGAACCCGACGGGACTGCTCTTGTCTCGCTTCCTGGTGATAATGTCAAATCCTCAGATGAATTTCCGCTCCCTATACTTATCAGTCGAAAACTACTGCTATCGCCGGCGATGGCTCCCCTGAGGCTCTGACTCCGACCGCTTCTGTTTCGACTGCTTCTGCTAGCGTTAGTCGCGTCGCTGTTAGTATCAATGACGGTATCCATGGAAGAGACTGGCTCCATGATTTGCGCTCTATCTGTGACGCTGTCACGGATGTCACGGACGCTATCTGCAGAGATGTTCCTATTGGTAGAGTCAGACTGGCCTATTGGCTCGAGACTAGAGCTTGGAGAGGTAGCGTCACCATCGTTTCTTCTCTGTTGTGACATCACGTTAACGAGGTCCCTAACAGGCGTCGCAATAATCTAATGAGAAACCTGAGATGGAGATTCTAATCCTAGCACTCCTTTACTCCGGACCTGCATGAAACTCCAGGATTGGCGAAATAGATTTAGGATTCGTACACAGAAGCACTACAAATGAACGTGCACCAGGAACGGAAACTCACACGAGGATAAAGCTCCCTTGAATTCGAAAGATCACAGCTAGCTGATGAAAAGAGAACCCAAAAGCAACAGAAGTCAGCCACAGACCCTGTTAGGACCTGGCTAATTTGTTCAAGCAAGCATGTCTCCCTTGTCTCGAAATCAAGCTCAGCAAAACTCCGACAGGAGAAAGAAGCGGAACATAGAGGGATGCTACTGTGCTGAGATAAGTGGCCAGGAACAGTGGCAGGGGGGTGCTGGTGGTGAAGAGTGTCCCTTTTAGAACAAATTTCACCGTATTAAACCGTTTTGAAGGCCTTTGCATCCTTTTGTTCCAAAGTGGATTCAAGTGCTCTGTTCGTTCAAGATGCAGCTCTATCCAGCTTTCTGAAGGAGTCGAGGCTGTACAGTACGTAGCTGCTCGGCAAAGCTCCTCCCCTTCTTCGTTTTGCCCTGGGAGTTCCGCGAACACCCTTGAATTTGCAAAGCGGGCGGAGGATGAGGTCGGGGAGCGGGGTTGCAGGTTTCGGATTGGAGGGAGATGCGGAGATTGGTTCACGGGCGCGGAATTGGGGGGATTATGTGCAGAACTGGATTTCGAAGGCGGTGGCTTGGAGGGAAATCAGCATGGAAAGTGGGGTGCACGGGCAGCATGTGGGGCATTGAGGCAAAGTGGACGAGACGAAACTCGAGAGGGGAGTCGTCGATGAGGGAAATTTTGAGGATGCGAGCAGCAAGTGGAGGAAACCAGGATTGAACAGCCCAGGCATTCCTTGCGAAGGCGTTCCGACTTCTCTGACGACGTCTCACATATAGGTCTTAGAACCATGCTTAACCACGGAAATTACTTCTCCATATTTTTGTACCAAACAAAGTACTGCTGGAACCGTACTGAATGAATCATTCTGACATCCCTGATGAGGTCAGGCAGGGTGGAAAGCGAGGGCTATTGCCGACTTCGGCTGGAAGCAAGAAACGTTCCGCTTGGTGCGCAGAAGTGTGGTTGGTGGGTCTGTGCTGTGGTCGTCTGTGCAAAACGCCAGGGAACGCGTTTCGTTGAATCGGAGGGCGCAGCGCTGCGCAGCAGGACTCAGGTCAGGAGGAACCCAGCCCTGGCTGGTCAACACATTGAGTGGACGGTACGGTGGACTGACTTGTGTCGTATCGCACGCTGCTACGACAGGTGCGACAGCGACTCGACAGCGGAACCTTCTCCAACGGAGGCTCGGGAGATTGGGCTGTGTGAAAGCTGTTCGTGACTGGCGGGCAGCAAGAGAAATGAATTTCGCAACTGCCGATGTAGGACAAAGCGGCAAAAATCAACAGCAAAACCAAACGAGCCACCTCAGACGCGAAGCATCGAACCTATCGCTGAATGCAATCCCTGGTTCCAGTGCGTCGCACAGAGAAGCAATGGGCGGTGTATTCAAGCCAACCGCAGTGTGCTAAAAACGATGAGTTCGAGGGTGACAGTAGCGCAGCTCTAGCTCTCAGCGAACTTCTATATGGATGCTCAAAGTTGCTTATGCAAGTTGCAGAGAACAGGCCAGCCTTTGGCGAGTACAATGATGCTTCTTGCCAAAGCAACCCTAAAAACTGATCAAAGCAGATTTCTTTCGGATATCCCTGCTTTGCCAACCATATTAGAAAAGAGCGACTTGCCTAGCCACCGCCTCGAACACACCAAGTTAGCAATTCGCGAATTCGCCAGCGACACCTGTGTTTGAGGTGCTGTAAGCGCATCGTTACAGCACTGCAGGTGCATTTGCCTCCTTGTCGTAGACTTGCACTAGCTCCAGATTCGCCGGAGGAAATGTCCAAGTCCTGCAAGGGCCTGGCGTACGAGCTCGTCAAGTGCGTCGCGGAAAGCCCGTGCGTGAAGGTGAGAGGCCTTGCGAAAGTGAGAGCTTTTGCAAAAGTGAGAGCTTTAGCGAAAGTGACCATCGCCGGTTTTCTTGTCAACGAAAATCACCATCTTTCGTTGGTAATCCGCACGTGCTCTCTTCGTCGCAGTCACCGCTATTTCCCGCACAAACTCGATTCCCGGTACATCCTATCACAACCCTCTTCATCCTGACCGTCCGGCTTATCGTGCTTCAGGAGCAGGGTCGGCCGGTGCAGGAGTGCGCAGGAAAGCAGCCGCCTGAGATCCCCTCCAAGTGTGTGGGGCTGAGGGAAACTTACGCCAAGTGCAAGAGAGGGCAGGTGAGATGCGAGAACGAATTTTCAAGGGCAGGTGAAGGCCAGTGAGGGCAGGTGAGGGCCGGTGAGCTCAGGTGAGGGCGGCTGAGGGTAGTTGAGGGCAGAAAGGTGAAGAGTGGAGCACGGGTGCGTTCCGGACGGGCGTCCGGTTGATTTGAGGTGAGGAAGGAATTTGTGCCAGAAGTGGATGTGGGGTGAGGAAGGAAACCGTGCTGAAAGTGGATCTGAGATGAGGAAGCTGTGCTCGATGTGCATGCAAGAGTGGGCAGGCAGGTGAAGTGTGGGTTTGGCGGTTCAAGGGGGCCCACTGGGATGTTCTTTTGGGATCTCCGGCCATTATATCTGGAGGGTTTCGTATGTGAGGTGCAAGATAGGAGAGTGTGCGGCTGAAGGGGGCTGGTGAGGTGCTCTTTTGGAATCTCTGGCCAGTGTATTTGGGATAGGGATCCGTATTTGAGGCTGAGGGGAATGTGCAGCTAAAGGGTGCCATAGATGAGCATTTCTGTTTTGGCCATGCATTGCAAGTTTGCATGAGTAATGGAACCTTTTTCACTCTGTGCATGTGTGAACCTCTTGCAGGTGGACATGCGAACACGGATTCGAGGCAATAAAGGGTACTAGATGTATCACATTGTATAGGTGGGAACAAAGTCAGCTTGGAAGCAGAGTGTTGTTGCCAGGACGGAGTTTGAGAAAATGGAAACTGGCTTGCCAATACCCATATGGTGAGTGATTGCAATTGCAATCATTACGTGGCTGTTGTGCAGCTTTTTAGTGTGCTGATTGCAGTGCTTATTGTTGGTCTCTTGATTTTTCTTGCAGGTTCCTGTTTCTTGCTGCTTAGAGCTTTGTCTTGTCATTTGGTAGTATAACCGAAGGCAATTGTTGGGAAGTGTATTGCTGCACTATATTGTGTACTAGAGCGGGATATTTATTAAGGAGTGGAATTGTTGTGCAACGCAATGTCGCTTCTGAGCATTTCTAGCTTCCTGACGTGGCGGGATTTCAAGTACTTATGACACAACGTGATCTTTTTTCAGTGCATGTCTCTTTAGGGGTGATGTCGTCACTAATGAGATCCGCATGCGCGGCTCGTGCGAGCCATGAGCCCATCAGGACACGGCATCGTTGCGAATTCTCTCGATCAACTTTCCTCGCATCCCACTCAATCGGTCGCACAGTACGAGGCTTTTGGCATGTCAATGCGTCGCCAGCTTTTCGCCTGCACGAATCAGTTTCTGGATGTGCGAAATTTGCGTCAGAATTTTCGCCGTACAGCCTGTGGAACGCATTTTAAAGGTCGCGATCGTGGAAAGCTGCTGCTGCTCGTCGAATCTTAGCTCACTATTTCAAGTGGTTGAAGAGATTGCTTCAGAAGAGGACGAAAACGAGGAGGCAGAAGGTCGTTATATGACCAGGTAGCTCGCTGGCGTGCACGGTTAGTAGCTTCTTTATGCTGCGTTGATTACAGGCTGCTTCAGATTCTAGGCGGTGCAATACTCCAATTGTCAAGGTCGGCTTTAATCCGCGTCAGTGCGGATTTAGGTTCTTGTGCTACAGCATGGAGCACATGGTAACGAAATTTAGACTCAATACCGGGGATGAGATTCCGGCTGTGGGATTGGGGACGTGGAAGATTGCACCTGAAGATGCTGACATGGCTGTGTCTGCTGCTCTGGAGGTAAGTGTGTGCATCTTGTTAGTTTCTAAACAAAACAAAACCAAGAAACGAAACAATCTTGATTTTTTATATATATTATTCTTCTTGTTACACCTCATCTCCGTGTTATCGTCAGGCTGGTTATCGTCACTTTGACTGCTCTCCAAAGTACAACAACGAACCTGAGGTGCGTGCTGCCCTGTACAGGGAGAAACCTGAGCTACGTGCATGCTCTCCTTATTGCAACACTCTGTCCCCATTGTCCAGGGTTTCAGCAGCCAATGAGTGTCCACGTGAACCTGTGCTGACATGGCTTCCATGCCATGCCATGTCAGCAGATTGGGAGAGCATTGGAGGATGGCGTGGCAAGGATGGGAATTGACCGCAAAGACCTCTTTATAACCTCCAAGCTCTGGTAGACACTAATTCTCGCAAGTTATTCTGGCAATTTATACTTTTTTTTCCTCACCGATCTCCTTTCTCTAACAATCCGTCCCTCAGTCAGCTCCACTGTTCCTCCTACATCACTTCTTTCCATGCCTCTTAACCTCTTCCTTCCCCTGCTCACCGCTCTGCACCCATGTCATTCAGGCCTACAGAATTCTCCCCTCCTGACGTTCTCCCAGCGCTGCAAAGGACTCTTCAGGACCTCCGTCTTTCCTATCTGGACCTCTTTCTGGTAAGTCTCTCATTCCTCGAATTTGTCAACACAAGCCCAGCATTTCGTTCCCAAGCTCCCTTTTCCCTTCCTTCCAAACACCCCTGTTTTTTTTCCTCCTTTCAAACGCGTTCCCTCTCTCAGCTTCATGTACCAGTGCAAATGGCAAAGCCTTGGCACTCTCCCCCTAGGAGGGAGGACAGGGTGCTGACGTGGCAGATGGCTGCCACGTGGCAGCAGATGGAGGCAGCAGTGGAGCATGGCCTAGTCCGGGCCATCGGCGTCTCCAATTGGTCGGTGACGAGGCTGAAGCAGCTGCTGAGCTGGCAGCCTGTGCACCCGCCAGCTGTCAACCAGGTGGAGGCGCATCCTCACTGGCGGCAGGATGCCTTGCTGGCATTTTGCAGGGATAAGGGAATACACGTGTCGGTGAGTGAGTGGTGGAACATTCCTGCATGCACTGGGTATGTATATATGTAGAGATATGTACGCATACATATCGTCAGACTCAATTCAGCATGTGCATGGAATGTACATGAGCGCAAAAACTGTGAGCCCTGCTTTCCGGTTTCTCCCGTTTATGCGTTACGATGCATGCACATTGAATATGCTAGATACAATAGGTTGCCTTTGTCTGCCCTTCTTCCCTTCTATGCTTACACCAGGCTGACGCACCTCCCCTTACTGCCTACCTGCCCGGTCCTCCGTCCCTTCTCACACCAGGCCTACGCCCCTCTAGGTTCCAGGGATCGCCCTGTGTATGACGAGTCCCTCATGCCTCCTGTGCTTCTGGACCATCCCTTGATTAAAGAGGTATGTGGTGGGGGTATGCGCAAGGGGAGAGCCTACTAACTGTGAGGGGTCAGTGAATGGGCCTGGGAAAACCGAAGACGCATTCAGCCATATACATGTTGAGCTTCAGATCAAGATTCATGTCGGGAGTAGCAGCAAACGGAGTGAATGGGCCTGGGGGAACCGTAGACGCATTCAACCGTATCTCCTCGTTGAGCTTCAATTTACTTCTTGTCGTCCTTTTGCTTGCATCTCCTTCATTATCTTCTTCTCATCCTTTTTACCACTCCGTTTTTCTGCCTTGCCACTAACCATTTCTCTACCGTGCTTGTCTACTATCAGGTGGCTAAGAATTTGCACCAATCTCCAGCGCAAGTGGCTCTGCGGTGGGGCATACAGAGGGGTATGAGCGTGCTTCCTAAGAGCAGCAACCCGTGGCACATCAAGGAGAACATTGGGCTGTTCGACTGGAACATACCCCCAATGGACTTCCATGCACTCTCCCTCATCGAACCCCAGGTGAGAGTTGGATTATATTTCTAAAGGGAACCCATGGCACCAAGTGTTCTCCCTAAGAGCAGCAACCCGTGGCACATCAAGGAGAACATTGGGCTGTTCGACTGGCGCATACCTCCAATGAACTTCCACGCACTCTCCCTCATCGAACCCCAGGTGAGGTTGTGTGATCCGTTTTAGGCCTCCACGTGATAACCCAATAGTATATTGGTCTGTTCGATTGGCACATACACTCAATGAACCCCATGTGAGGTGAAAATTCCTGATGAGGTGGTAAGTTTTCATTTGAGGCGGATGTCTGCCCTCCCTAAGAGCAGCAACCCATGGCACATCAAGGAGAACATCGGCTTGTTCGACTGGCACATACCCCCAATGGACTTCCACGCACTCTCCCTCATCGAACCCCAGGTGAGAGTTGGATTATATTTAAAAGGGAACCCATGGCACCAAGTGTTCTCCCTAAGAGCAGCAACCTGTGGCACATCAAGGAGAACATTGGGCTGTTCGACTGGCGCATACCTCCAATGAACTTCCTCCCACTCTCCCTCATCGAACCCCAGGTGAGGTTGTGTGATCCGTTTTAGGCCTCCTCGTGATAACCCAAGAGGATATTGGTCTGTTCGACTGGCACATACACTCAATGAACCCCATGTGAGGTGAAAATTCCTGATGAGGTGGTAAGTTTTCGTTTGAGGCGGATGTCTGCCCTCCCTAAGAGCAGCAACCCATGGCACATCAAGGAGAACATCGGCTTGTTCAACTGGCACATACCTCCAATGGACTTTCACGCACTCTCCTTTGTAAAACTCCTGGTGAGGTTCATAACGTCACCCTAGGTGTGGTGGTAAGGTTCCGGCCTAAAAGGGGATTGGATGTGCTCCTCTAACAGCAGCAACCCATGGCGCATCGATGTGAGTACTGGCTTGTTCGACCAGCACATAACCCCAATAGACTTCCAAGCACTCTCTCTTATAAAACCCCAGGTGAGGTCAAAACGTCACCCCAGGTGAGGAGATGGCTCCGTTTTAAGCCTGCTCGTTTTTAACTTTATTCAACTTGCCAACACCTCCAGTCGTTTTTTCCTGCCCGTACATGCACGCGCAGGTTCGCATACTTGTTGGAGAGAAGTGGTGTGTGACTTTTCCATTGTTTCTTCATACTCTGCCTTTTTTCTGCCCACACATGCACTCACGGGTGCACATTTTGGACTACCACAGCTATAGGATCGGAGTGTTATTTTAGTCGACTCAAAAAACACATTGTTTCATCACACTGTGCCTTTTTCCTGTCTTCACAAGCACATGCACATGCAGGTACGCATACTTGACTAACTGCTATTGGGTCGGAAAGGGCCGGCCCTTTTTAGAACCCGAGGAGCTCTGGAACTGGGGGGCACAGTTGCTTGTCTGTGTTTCCAATTGTTTGTCATGCCGTGCCTTCACATACACGCGCAGGTTCGGATACTGGACTACTATGGCTACTGGGTCGGAGACAGCCGGCCCTTTCTAGAGCCCGAGGAGCTCTGGAACGATGAGGCGGATAAAGTGGGGGAGGGGGACAAAGTGGGTGAGGGGAACAGGAAAGCTTCAAACAATGACGAGTGGGAGGAGTGATGCAGGTAAGGTTTAATTCTTAGGCGTAACATTGGCTTCCTTTCCCCATCGGGCACACAAGTTGTCCTTTCATGCTGTTATCAAATCGTGTGCATTGTGGTTAGTGCATTCTCGCACGATTAAATGTCGATGCATGGAAAGTGGATTGGCAGGTGTTGTGTTGTGCACCGCCAGAGCTAGAAACATCTCAAGCGCCCGAGTCCAGTCTGGTTATCTTGATCGTTTAATCGCTAGCAGCTCGGTATTGTGCATGATACATTACAGACGGATCATGATTCATTACTTTCGCAGGCAACATGATCATGATTGGCTTTTTTTTGTCAAGATGCAAGTACTGGTATCATGGCTTTCCGCCATCCATGTGAAAATAGTGCATGCCTGATTAGTAACGATTACATGGAATGCTACACTCCCTCAACCATAACACCACCTGGTGTGCGCCCTTAAGGAAATCAGGCGTTCAATCAGGTTGAAATCGATAAAGCATAATGTTGGTTCTCAGCCCAACAGCATCCATGTGTTTTCGTATACACACCTTGGCAACATCGCATGGGCACTTAGTAATTGTACCATGTTTGGACGAAAATAATCGCTGTCTACCAGTTCAATCTTAAACTACAGCGTGTTTATCCAACATCATGGGCAGAATTCTTCAATTACCATTGTGAAAACTTTATTGTTGAAAAGTATGCTATGCATAATGTTTGTTATAATAGAATGAAGCGCACTCATTAGCAGAAAGGGGCTTTGTTTGGATGCTGTATTCAGGTCCACCTTCTTCTGGGGATTTATCGCTTTCTACGGGTTGACTCGTCGACGTGGCTGTAACAATCGTGAGGTTGCCAATTTAGCTAACCAGCGCACGCCATCTGGAAGATTTGGAATGAACGGTGAATGAAATGCACGGATGCTGCCCTGTTTTTGAAGGGAGATGAGCCCGAGGGAGGGTGAACCTGTGAAGGCCGAATCCATTTGATGGATGTTGCGCGAGAGCTTATCTTCGTTCAGAGCGACTCGAATCTAGTTGCTGTGAGCCAGTACTGTAAACATTTCTGGTCAGCTGATTGGGAAGTTGACCAGCGCGTGCGAACTTGTCATGATAAGAATATATTGTTCACATCACCCTTTGTTGCCAGGGACAACGGGACGGGCGGGGCATCTTGGGATGGAGGGGGACGGCTGATTGAACAACGACTAGATTCAACAAGTGCAGTCGATGCCCATTTCAAGAACACCAGGTAGGCGGGCGGCATGTGCGTGAAACGTGTTAAGGGCGTTTCGCCATATTCGCCCTTGTCGTCACGGGCAAAAATGTGACAGTGATAAGAAATTGCAACGTGAATTGAGTCAAGGGTCTTAATTTCGTAACCAGGTGAACTTATCTGATGACGGGCGACCGCCGTTGTTCATGTCGAACGCCTTATTCACTCAAGGGCAAAACGTTCGCGAGTGACTAGATTTCTAATTGTGAGGAGCGAATGTTTTATGATAGTCTGAGCATCACTGTACTGGGGTCCTGACTCATCATGGAAGCAGGTGTAGTGATGCGCTGTAACGCAGCAACGAACGCGGAAGTGGATCTGCGAGGCGAAGAACATCCCTGAGTTGTCCTCTGCCTTCATGCATCCACATTCAGCTTTCGCGGTGCTCTCAACGCGTTTTCGCGCATGTTCGCCCAGCACGATGTTTTGCACTTCGCCGTGTTGCTCTGTGTCTCCTCTCACGGGGAAAAGAGTGGGTCGGGGAAGAAGTGCGTTGAGTGGAATCCCCTGAGTCTTTTGGAGCGCAGCAGGAACAGCAAGCAGCTACTGCTAGCTCTTGCTGCTGTACTTGGCCATGAATGTTCGGGCTTGCCTTGGGCAGCTTTGAAAAACTTGCAGAAAAACCTTCCAACCGACGCTTTTCTCCACTTCAAAGTAATTTTTTTTTCTTGAACTAGTTTTGCGCCAAGTACGTGCACTGTACTACAACACAATACTCCTTTCCAGAAGGAAGGGAGACAAAGGTTGGATGGCCTGGGCAACCAAGGGCTACCTCCCTCCCTCTGGCTCTAAATTGCGGCCAGCTCCCTTTTCACTGATCACCACCATTCACGATTCGCGTCGCACGTCCCTTGGATCTACAAAACAGAACAGTTCAACACTGTACAGTGCCTCACAATATTTCCTAACCTCATTTCACCACCAACCCCCTGACCTGACCCCCCCTGCTCGTTCTTGTCAGAAAGAGTCCCCTCAAGCGTTTCGCCTCGTCAATTCCTCCCTTCCTCTCCTTTCATGTCTTGTGTGTGTTGTTTCATGCAGTGCCGCTTCACTGGACCCCCAGGATAGGACCCCCAGCTCACAGCCCAAGCCGCTCAGCCTCTTGGATACTCCTACAGCTTAGAATACCACTCGCCCCAGGAGTTCAGGTCCCGTACATTCGATCGGCGTCATGTCGTCGACGCGTTGTGTCATCCCTGCATCGCGCGAATCTCGAGAGATATCGCACGCCGTCGCCCACACGCGTGGCGAAGGCATGTCGAGCAACTCGTCCAGCTGTCGGCACTGCTGGGTCGCGAACGAACGGAGCACATTATTTGATGCCAAATCCGTTCTTTTCAGCCTTACTAGTGCACCAACTTACGCGAAACGCATGTGGTCGACATGTGTGATCATAGACCTATAAGATATTTTAGCGGTCGTTATTAATTGCCAGCCAGAACCAGTAGCGCCACTTGGACCGAAGCTTTGGTCCGTCGACTCGATTCCTGCTTCCAGTCGGCCGCCCTGGCCGGTTATCTCGTCGTTAGTTAGCGGTTTCTAAGCAAAGTCGTACGCAACACTTCCTAGACCCGCGCTAAGCTCCAAGTGCGCAAAGCGCAATAGCAGTAGAAGCCGGACTCGCGTACCTCCTGGTTCTCCGCGATTGACCCTTAAAGATATTTCTGGGCCTGTTCATTACATCCCTAAACCTCAGCAGCTTTTACCCTTTCTAGAAGTCCCCTTTTCCTTTCTCACTCGATATCACTCTCCATCTCTCTCTCTTCGAGGGGAGAGACCTAGGATATATTATCTCAATTCCATCCGTCATAGCCACTCAAGTTCCGATTCTGTAGTAGCTGTCAGCAAGAAGCACTGAAGAGTTCATCAGTTGTTGAGTTTGAGGCGGCTTTGTCTGGAGATTGGAGCACACAACCATGACGATTCCAGCTTTCCCTAAAGCTGCTGCTACTCACCAGCACGGCGGCGCTGCGTCTTGTTCTGCTGCTGCTACTAGCAGCACCCCCATCAGCGGCACTGGGCTCTTGGATTTACCCCTCGACACCATCTGCACCATTCTCCACCGCTTGAAACCCAAAGATCTCATCGCCGCCTCGCTGACGTGTCGCACCCTGCACGGGCTCATCGACCAGCCCAACACGTGGCTGACTCTCTGCCGGAAGTGGGAGGGCCAGCTGGCGCTCAGCGAGTGGCTCGTGCATGCGAACTCGGCGAAATGCCTGTTTCGCCTGTTACACACCTTGAGTCCTCTGGTGGGGGTGTGGGCCGCGGAAGATCTCGCTCCCCGGGGCGGGCTGCTATACGTCACATGGGAGCGCATGGCGGTTGTCGCTTATCGAATCATCCCCGATTGGCTTGGTAAGTTTGCTGCTATCAGCTTCTCGAGCCTCTAAACGCGATTCGGCTCCTAGATCCCTCCCTTCCCCACCCTTACCCCCCTCTCCTCCTTTCCTCTACCCTCCTGCCTTCCCGCGAACAACCTATTTCCGGAACCATGTGTTAATCTTCCAATATCCCCGTTTCTCTCGTCTTCCTCCCCCACTCCCCCTCTCCCCCCGATCCCCCTTCCCCCCCGCAGACGGCAATCTCATCTCCGCGCGCCTCTTCACCATCTCCGCCTTCCCCGACGGCACGACGCAGCTCAGCCTGGTCACGGGGAGGGGCGCGGACGACGAGTTTCCGCTCGAGCTCCCCGGCGTGCTCGTCTGGGAGTCCCCCGCGCGCGCCAAATTCCACCTGCAGACGCTCCTCCCGCCGTCGTCCCGCTCCCCCGCGAGCTTCGCCGCATCGCCTTTCGCCAAGGATGCTGGTAACCGGGTGTCGTCGTCGCCACCGGCGGCGCCGCCGAAAGGGGTCGTCGCAGGGCCGTCGTCGCCGTCGTCGGTACTATCGTCGCTGTCGTCGCTGGGCGCTGCGGAGAGGCTCAAGGCGACGTTTCAGCGAGCTGGTCTGGCCCGATTTGCCGCTACAGCCGGACCTCTCTCGTCGGTGCTCCCGACTGCTTCAGCTTCCTCTTCTACTACATCCGTTACTCCTTCCGCTGCTCGCGCAGCCGTGCCTTCTTTACCCCCGCGTCCTCCCTCTAGCCGATCAGCGGGCAGCAGTGGCCTCGTCTCAACCTTGCAGCAACAGCAACAGCAGCAGCAGCTTGAAGCGAGCCGCGCTACAGCATCGAGTGGAATTAGTCGACTTCAGCAACGATTCGGCCAATCGGGGCTCAGCATCGGCGGCGCTAACCTCCTCAGAGTGGGAGCCGTTAGTCCCACGGGGAAGGAGGAACAAAGCTCGAAGCGCCTTCAGCTTCGCGCTCTGCAATACCTGACCGGGTTGAAACAAGATTCCGGAAGCTCTCCGTCGAAGGCAGCCGCGGCGGCGACTCCATCCAAGCGTACTAGATCCGAGTGTGACAGCAACGAGGCCTCGCCTGACGAATCTAGAAGGAAACGGTCACGGACCTGCAGTGTCGACGTCGCAAGCACCAGCGGAACTACGGCGTTTTCTCCCCCGCAAGTGGCTTTTTCTGCTTCCAGCGGTTCTTCCGCGGGGGCTTCTGCCATGGCTTCCGCCGCGGGGAGTTCCGCCTCGGCTGGGCCCTCCGCCAGCAGCGCGGAGTGGTCGCTGAAGCGGCGAGCGTTTGGCGCGCTTCATTATGCGGATGAGACCCAAAGCCTTGGCGCACGTATGGGGGCTGGCGGAGGGGCGTTCGCGGGATTCGGCGGAAGCTCCAGCGGAAAGGTTGATATGCGCGGTTGTGGTGGGACTGTGTTCGGGCAGCTAAAAGGGAGCCAGCAACCGTCGGAATGGTCCGACGGGCAGACGAAAAGGGTACCTGTACCGAAGTCCACCTATCATCGTGTGCCTGTTGCGGGAGAGATTCAAACAAACAAATCAGCGAGAGCATGCGACACGGACACCTCCGGAACGGATTTATCCAGATCTCGTTTGCCCCCGTGGGTGCGGGATCTTGAGGGCCTCTGGACGGGTGTGTTCGGGCAGCATGGGGTGGAAATTCTTAACGTCGCGGTTGAGAGCGGTGAAATTGTTGCAACGAAAATCGTTGGAGATCCCAATGTTCCCGGAGGGCATGTTTCGTTCAAGGCTCGGATTGACTCGGTGCAGACTGCTGCTGACGATAGTGACCGGTGGAATCAAGTGGTGGGCCAGGCGAGGAGCCTGATCCGGGCGCAAGGGCAAGCCGCGGATCCTGCTTTGGGTCAACAGCTTCAGTTCTCTAACTTGTGAGTATATGTTCATGCTTGCATTTCCTTGTTTTCATGCCCTGTTTTCATCAGCACACTTTCTCCATCTGATGAGGCTGCTTCTTGTGTTTCCTGGTCTTGATCCCATTGTTCCTGGTCTTGTGACTCATGTGTTTCCTTTCCCATTTTGCTTGGTCTGTTTCTCTTGCAGGTTGGAAGGGGAAGGGAGAATAGCAGACTACAACTTCAAGAACCCTCAATGGGTGAATGGAACTTTGTTGGTTGACTCAGCTGGTCGGATCTCTTTCCTATGGGAGGAGTTGAACTTTCTTGTTCAAATGAAAAGGCTACACGTGGAGGAGCTCCTCTTTAATGCATGAATCCCTGCTATTTGTGAGCCAAGTACATTTCGTGCTCAAAGTTTTTCCGTCTCTTAATGAGACGTTTGTTTGTTGGGCATCCCCGCTACGTGCGTATTATTTCATTATACAAAACTATGCTAATTTGCCCTAAAGCTTGAGTAGTCTTGTCTTAGAGAAACTTACACAACAGAGTCTAGTGTGTATTTGCTGCACTCTCGTGAAACTACAGAAGGGGCTCACGAAGCTCCACGATGCTCGCACGAGCTGCGTGTGGCTTCGCGATCGACACCCAAATGCTGACACGGCTCGCAGTCGCTCTGACGCTGCAACTAGCCCTACATAATCAGGTCGGTGGTGACGTGGAGTGGCGGAAAGAAGGAGAGCGAGAGTAACCATCTGAAATTCTGACGCGTCACTCGATAACAGCTCGGCAGGTCGCCTTGCTGGACTTGGTGGTGACGTCCCGCTCAGCATCCCGCAGGACGCATCACCAGAAATTTACCCAGCCCTCCCTCAGACGTGAGCTGGGAATCTGGGAAGCTGGGATTGAAAGCATCGGTGGTTTGTACCATCAGTGATTTGTACCATTGTAATACCATTTTCATAAGCATTTATGCTGGATTCCTCTCTGGACTAGAGTATTTTTCTGCGTACTAATTCAGGACTCTGTTCCGGGCGTGTGGGAGCTGTGTGCGGACTCCAGACCAGAGTTAGGTTCTTCCTCTAGCTCATACTTCCCTAGACTGCCATGGCGTCTGCAACTGTCGCCAGTATTTCCGCCCCAGTCTCCGCTGTCTTCAAGAGTCAACCCTCGGAGAGAAGGTCACTCAGCTCATCCACTTCCCTCGTGGCACGGCGGCTTCCGTCCGTTGACCTCCAATGCCGATTCGCTTTGAGAAGACCCACCCAGATTAACGCAATGCTCGGCGGAGGTATGTCGTAACTCACTAGCCAGTTCTCATAATCTGGCGATGGCATGTTTGGGTGCTGCTTTCTTCTTCAGCTCAATACCCGGGTTCTCGCTCGCACAATTCTCGACTAGCAGCCCTTCGCCTGCTGAATGTATTGCCTTCCATGACCATTTAAATCCGTCCCTCAGGTGACAACAAGACTGAGAAGAAGAAATTTATCACCCAAGCGGAGGAGCCTGAAGAGTAAGTTTTCCCTTTTTTCACAGTGATACCAACTGCTGAGAACATGCCACGATACAGTATTTCGGTCAACCACATGCTGTTTTCCCAGGTGCCGATTACACGAACAGAACAATCTAGCAAACCGCACATAATGCACAATACTAACGCTCACTGATGCTCTGTGTTTTCGTTCCTCCCCCTCAGGTATTGGCAGAGTGAGTCGGAGAGAGAAGGAAAGGGCCCCATGAGTACAGTGCTGCCCTACATTGCGATTTTCGGGCTCCTCACACCCTTCATTATTCTTGGGATTGCCTTCGCCAGTGGCTGGATCGATGTTCCAGCCAGGTAAACAGACACCTTGATCTCAGGCTCAAGCCCTGAAACGAGTTTGGTTCATATTGTGTACATGTGTTGTTAGGAATGGAAATGTATTGAAATGGGTGCGCCACTTTTCCACTCTAAGGCACTGTACGAGGTAGGTAGAGTGAGCAGCCAACAACAATAATGCTGCTGTTCATGCCACTTAACCACCCTCCTCACACTGATGCATAGTCAAGTGAGGAAAAAATTTGGACCCCCGGATCACCCCCAGATCACGGTAAGCAGAAAGTTTGCACTGTCAATGACGAAATAGTCAGGAAGCCATTGATCTGTGAACAGCCAAGGTTAGCAGACATACAACAACTAATTTGACCTTTAAGTCTGCCAAGAACTTTAACAACTCTCATGTGTGGAATGCAAAGGGGAGGAGAATCTCTGCATACATGTGTGCTTGCAGTGCAATGCAAAATCTCTTGCCGGACTACTGAGATGCCTTTGGGGGAATCTGATGCGTACCAGACCAATCATGCAATGTCATAGGGAAAGGATCGTCCATTCCACCATCTTTGAAAGGCTTGAAGCATTCTTACCTGTAAACACACATTGAGCTTACAGTATAACTCTACTTAAAACATGTATATTTGAAGTTACCAATAGCGAGGATTACCGCAATCCTCCTTTATTCGTCTCAAAACCTTGATAACCTTCTGCTTATCAAATGTCAAGGGCTTGAGCCGAGCACCCTTGCCAAAAACTAGATAATAATTCAGATCGCAAGCATGTGAAAGATGATGAAAACATGCGTTATCATAGTTGTCGGGACGAATCTCCAGTACTGTACCGTTAGGTGGCATAAATATCATATGGGACATCCCTGCACCATGCCCTGCCACTAGAAGACGCGCCTTGCTGAATAGGTCCCGAGCTGGCAGGAGAACAAGACAGAATGAGGAAGACAAAGAGAGAATCATATGGAGAAGGGGATGGGGGAAGTAAGGGGGTGAGGCTGAACGCTGATGCATCACAAAGAGCAAACGCAAGGCAAAGCGCAGAAACAGGAAAAAGAAAAACTTGAATGTAGGAACAGGACTTCATTTAAAGATATACACTGCAAGAACTTCAACTTACTCTCATGAACGCTCTGTGTGCCGTTGAAAACGTGGACCCTGCCCATCCCAAAAAGTTTCTGAACTGCCCCCAGCAGTTGCCCGAACTGCTTCATTGTCCTGCCCTTGGCCCCAAGCCGCTGCACCACCACCACTATCCAATCCCTGGGCAGCGGAAAAACCTTCGACCAATACCCCGGGTCTTGAACACCCACACTCGAATTACCCAAACCATCATCCGAACTGCCCGAAAAATTCCCCTGACCTTCGCCATGCGGCACATTCCTGAGCTGCCACCTGTCCTCATGAAAGTACGGCAAACCTTCGGGCAGGAGGATGTGATTATAACGAAGGGTACGCCAGATAGCGGGAGAGGGGTTTCCGCAGCTCTGGTAGAGCGGCAGGTAAAGCTCCCTCACGTGGAAAAGGGCTCCCTCGGGAATGGCTAGGCGACGGAAAGACTTGGTGCTGACCCCGACTAGATGCTGAATGGTACGATGATAGAAACGCCACTGGCAGGAGGGATGGAGGAGAGATGAAGGGAGTGGGGAAACAGGGGAAGGGGAAGGCGGAGAGAAGGTGGAAAAGGGTTCCCTTGGGAATGGCTAGCCCTTGAGAGGGGTTTCTGCAGCCCTGGTAGAGCGGCAGGTAAAGCTCCTTCACGTGGAAAAGGGTTCCCTCGGGGATGGCTAGGCGGCGGAACGACTTGGTGCTGACTCCTACCAGGTGTTGAATGGTGCAATGATAGAAACGCCACAGGCAGGAGGGATGGAGGAGAGATGGGGAAAGGTGGGGGTTAGGGGGCGGGGGATTGTGGGGGGAGATAAGGAAACATGAGAATAGTGGGGTTCAGGGAAATAGTGGGACGGGCGGGATGGATGATGAATCATGCAGGCCAAATGTGTGTACATTTATGTATCCAGTCTCCAGAGGCTGCAATTGAGGCACAGGGTGTACATTTGTATCCCAGCTTTACCTGGGAGGGCTAGTTTTGAGGCGCCTCAAAACTAGGTATCCGATCTTTACCTGCGAGGGTCGAGCTAGAAGCGGGATGTCGGGATGAGCTGCGAGCACTTTGTGGAGGATGTAGAAGGCGGGTTGCCACTCTATGAAGCCGTGATAGAATGCGTCTGCCTGGCGATACACGAGGGAGACTGCTCTGTCCACGTGGTGCACCTGTGTGTGCCCTGCCTTGAAGGAGAACTGCCAGAGGGAGGGGCACACACAGGTGTGATAGAAGGAAGCAAGAGGGTTGCTACTCTATGAAGCCGTGATAGAAGGCGTCTGCCTGGCAGTAGACCAGGGAGACTGCTTTGTCAGCGTGGTGCACTTGTGTGTGCCCCGCCTTGAAGGAGAACTGGGGAAGGGGAAGGATAGGAAGCAAGAGGGTTGCTACTCTATGAAGCCGTGATAGAAGGCGTCTGCCTGGCACTTGTGTGTGCCCTGCCTTGAAGGAGAACTGGGACAGGGGGTTGGTGGAAAGTGAGATGACCTTGTGATGGAAGTGAGGTGACCTTGTGATGGAAGTGAGGTGAACTTGTGATGGAAGTGAGGTGAACTTGTGATGGAAGTGAGGTGAACTTGTGATGGAAGTGAGGTGAACTTGTGATGGAAGTGAGGTGAACTTGTGATGGAAGGCGGGTTGTCACTCTTTGAAACTGATTGGAGTGTGCTTCTGTTGAATGCCAAGTGTGGTGAAGCGGAGCGCAACAACCCATTGTACAGTTACATAGTTACACAGTTACACAGTTCTACAGTTACACAGTAAAACAATCGCACAGCTCACATTGAGGTGCCCGTTGCAGTCGCCGTGGCATTGAACACATATGCATTTGTACATCTAAACATATATACAGTTCTGCAGGTATACGTTTAAGCATGTACACAGCTCACATTGAGGTGCCCGTTGCAGTCACCCTTGTTAAAGAGGGTGGTGGCATTGAACACATTGCCATCGTCGTTCACATACACATTGTTCAGGCGAAATACCTGAAGTGATGGGGAGGAAAAACGAGAGGGGGGGCGAAGGAGGACAAAAGGGGGAGTTGAAGAGAGTGGTCGCATTGAACACATTGCCATCGTCATTCACGTACACATTGTTCAGACGAAACACCTGCACGGTTGGAGTGGAGGGAAGGAAACATGAGAAAGGGAGAGGGAAAGGGAAGAAAGAGATTGAGCACATTGCCAATGAAAGTCCGTGGCATATTGGGTTATATCTATTTACCTAATAAGCCACCTGGTCATGCCAGTGAAAGTCTGTGTAATGGCTGCAGCTCATATCCCTTCCCTCTCTGATACCCAAATACATACAGTGATACCACAAATATATAAATTTACCTCATATGCCGCCTGGTTATGCCAATGGAAGTCTGTGGAATGGCTGCAGCTCACATCCCTCCCCTCTTTCGTTCAAGGAAACAGAAAAAGGGATATTACCTGATAGGCCGCCTGGTTGTGTCAATGAAAGTCCGTGTAATGACTGCAACTGGTATCCCTCTCCTCTGGCTTATTAAGACAGAAACGGCTAGATGAGACATTGTGATAATGAGATTACCTGATAAGCCGCCTGGTCGTGCCAGTGAAAGTCCGTGTAATGGCTGCAGCTAGTGTCCCTTCCCTCTGGTTTCAAGTCCTTCACGTTGCTTATTTTCGGGCAGTTTATCGGAGTGGGCGGCTTGACATATCCCTCATCCACCAATCCCGTGTTGCAACAGGCTGAGATGTTGGGAAAACGTTTTCCGCAGCTGCCCGAGAAGTCCGGGCAGGGTTTTTCCGGTGCAGTTAAGGGAGAGAAGAGATGTTTTGTGGTGTAGACCGTAGTTGAGATGGAGTATTTGCAGGTCAGAATTGGTAACGTCTCGGTTAAGAGTGGTAATCTCCTCTGCTTGTTCGATTGCCCCCTCACCATATTCACTCTCGTTAGTGTCACCAGCTGCACCGACCGTCGTAATAGCAGCACTAGCACCATCACTAACAGCAGCAGTAGCAGAGGCATTAGAAGCATGGGTAGCAGCAAAACCAGCAGTAGCAGCAGTGGCAGCAGCAGTAGAGTTTCTCCGAGCCTGAGCAGCAGCACTGGCAGCATGTTCCCGAGCCTCAGCAGCGGCAGCTATGGCAGTAGCCACGGCACCGGGGCTGTGCATGCTGCTGACGTGGCTCAGCTCCGCATCCACGCCTCTGCCTGGGCGAAACGCCCATGTGACTGTAACGAAAGGGGGGGGGGTTGGGGGTAGCGAAGGACGCATGTTATTCGACCAGGGTGCAGCGTTCATGTGACTGTATCGGGTTGGTACTGAGAGCCACATGTGATAGGATGAGAGACTTATCGTTTATAATGAGCATGTCCAAAACGCGGCGGGACGACACCTAGAAGGCGCACCGATGGGGAAATGCTAAACGTATGATGTGCACCAATGGCGTGAACGGCGCGAACGGGAAAATCGCGACCCACTTATTTGGATGGCGGTGAGACATCCCGCGACGAGGATGGCGAAGAGAACGAAGAGGGTTGCGCGAGGGCGTGGTAACCCACGACGAGGGGAACGCGCTGGCAGGCGACTGATTGGCGATGGTCGGTCGCCGTCCCACGTGTCCTCGTCTCCTAATAGCATCCTCCCTATTAGATGCTTCGCAATCAAGCGATTTGCTGCGTAAATGACAGTCGTAAGTGTGGTAGGTGGTGTCTTCGCCTGTGCCCAACAATTGGGAGAAGTCAAAAATAGTGTAGCATACTTCATACTTCTAAACAAACAGTTGTTAGGCTTCTTAATACATCGTACCTGAGCCTTCACCATTCATCAGTTGTTTCAATGTTTGTTACATAGGAATTTTCAGTGCTCTTCCCAGAGGGCCTTCCCCTGAAATTGCATTTTCTTTGGATTCACAATTTTATGGTGCCTTCTAACTGTGCTACTACACCTATCCAAATGAAAGGGTACGGTGTAATGAATACACAATTCATTACTGTAGAGGCTGCTCCTAGCGAGGACAGCCCGAGCACTTCACGTCAGGTGGCTCGGCCTACATTTCGGACCGAACCACTTCCGAGTCGCCCCGCACCAATCGCGACACATCCAATCCATCCACGTCCCGAGGTCCTCGCCTAGCACGGCTTCGACCCTATAAATGCGTGCTCCTTTACCATTCTTGATCATTCTGTAATTCATTCTCTTTATAGAAGTCTTCCGCGCACTCTGTCTAGTAAAACTCATAACACTTGGTATCATAGCTACTTTCCTAGCTTCCCCGTTTTTTTTAGTGTATTACTCCTCAGGGGGGGGGGATAGGGAAGGATGCCATAGTGACAGGAGCAGCGCACTAGCCGGCCAGGAGAACGGATAGTTGCTGTCAAAACTAGCAGACATAAATAGAAATGAGAAAAGGACTGTTTGCACTAGCAGCAGTTGAGATACATATAGGAAACCCTAATTGGGTTGTACTCGCTATAGAGTACCCCACTGCAGGCTAGACAATTATAACATTCTGACACACCCCCATAGTCAAAGTGGGGTATGTTCAGCACAACAAGCAGGCATAAAGTAAGTTCACCTATTACAAGCAAAGTTAGAGGTAATCACAGAGGGCAAGTGAGGAGGAGGAGGGACTGTGAGGGGAGAGAAGATTGGAGACGACGACTGAAGCTGCAGACACACGGGCAATAGGAGCGCGCACACAGTGGCTACAGGGACAGCGCCCCGGACTACTGGAGTAACTGGCTCGGCGGCTATGAGGAGCGACAAGAGCAACGGACCCACGGGCGACAGGCACAGCAGGCTTTCTGGGCTATCGAGAGCACGACGGCTCCGGACTACTGGCGCTGCAGGCGACACGACGGCAGCCTCCACGCAACCTCCCCCGACCGTCCCACACCCCTCTCACACACCCCCTGCTGAAACCCTAGCTCCACTCCCACGCCACCCCCCTTAAACACTAAACCCTCGGCTCCCACACACCCACCCCCCTCAGCGGCTGCTGCAGCAATGGGAGACGGAGGAGGAGGAGCTGCAAGTTACCCATACCGGTCACACCCATGCCCGCCACCCCCAAACCCTAACGCAAGCAGGAGCGCGGGAAGCAGCAGGGGCGGTTCACGGAGGGAAAGGGAGGCGGCGGGGGGGTCTCCTGGGCGCCACGGAGGAGCAGGGCGCGGGCCCCCCGAGGGCGCCACGGCGGGTAACGGGAGGGGGGCCGCGCACGGGCCCCCGAGGGCGGCTCGACGGGCGACGGAAGGGGCCGCGCGCGGGGCCCCCAAGGTGCCGCGACGAGGCGACGGGAGGGGGCGACGCGCGGGCCCCCAAGGCGCCGCGACGAGGCGACGGGAGGGGCCGGCGCGTGGGCCCCCTGGGCGCCGCGACGAGGCGACGGGAGGAGGGCGACGCGCGGGACCCCCAGGGCGCCGCGACGGGCGACGGGGGGGCAGCGCACAGGTCCCCGAGGGCGCCACGACGGACAGAAAACCGCCGCGCAAAGCAAGACACCGCTGCACGCCCCGAGCGCACGGCGGGATGAAAAACGCCGCGCGCTCCGAGTGCGCGGCAGGAAGAAAGGGTCGCGCGCCCGGGGTGTGCGACAGCAGTAGAGCAGCGGAAGCATCGGGTGGGGCCCACCCACAGGATCGATCCAGGAGGGTCGACCTGCTCTGATACCATGTCAAAACTAGCAGGCAGAAACAAAAATGAGAAAAGGAGTGTTTGCACTAGCAGCAGCTAAGATACATATAAAAAACCCTAATTGGGTTGTACTCGCTATAGAGTACCCCACTGCAGGCTAGACAATTATAACATTCTGACAGTTGCTCCTAGCGGCCATATTTTTACGAACACTCCTGCTGCACCGACGGATCCTTGCCCTCGACAGTCGAGATGGACCGTGGCCTCCCTCTCCCCGAGTGGCGGACAGCTTTTACTGTCGTCGCAATTAATGCGTGGGTTAATAGTGTTAGTTTTCAGCAATTTTGGAGTTAATGCTGTGTAGCGGCTGGCGTCGGTAGGCTCGTCGTCGGCGCACATCCGAAATTGTCGGAAGCAAAATCGTTGTGCGAGTTGCGTCAGCACGTGGTCGACAACTGCGCGCGACAATTTCGGAACAGCTGCGTGCAGCAAAGTAGCGTTGTGGCGTCTTCGTCACGTTGCGCACAAGCTGTTGGACGTCTTCGACAAGTGACACACGGCGTCACTGTGCGCAAAGATTTCGGAATGGCAGCACGTGGAAACAACTGCTGGTTGAGCAGCCAGGCGCAATGTGTGATTTGTGTCAGAAAAACCGACGACGAGGAGAGGCGGCGTGGCGACTGCCCGAAGAAAGTGGGGGTCTACCGTCGTCCCGCCCGGTTGGGGTGCGTCGTGGGCGTTTTTCGGCAGAGCGGCACAGAGTGGGACGGAAGTCGTTCTTCAAACCACCGAAAAGTTCGGAAAATGTGAAGAATGAGGAATGAATGAACTAGAAAGCAGGTGGGTACAAGTAGGAAAAACTAAAAGAGTTGTACCCCATATTGTCTACCCCACTACAGCCTACACAGACTGTGGGGTAGAACAAGAGGTCACAAGACCAGTCAAGCAAAGCAAAGCAAGCTCAGGGTGGATCACAACGTCACCACACATTCTGAGCACAAGAGCAAGGCCACAAGGCCAGTTCACATGCAAGATCATATATATAGAACAACAGGCAAGTGCAGGTATAGAAAGATCACAGTACAAGTAAGGTCAAGAAGTGAGCAAGTGAGGCCAAGTAGGCACAAGACCTAGCATCGTACAGAAGCGCTGATGATCACCAGACGGAAGTGCCTTGGTAAAGATATCAGCAGTGTTGGCCTCAGAGGCCACGTAAGCAAGGCGCAGCTGACCACGCTGCTGCAGCTCACGAGCAAGGAAGTAGCGAAGAGCAATGTGCTTCGTTCTGTGCTCCAGTCTGTGCTCCCGACACAAGGCCAGCATGGCCTTGTTGTCTACGTACAGAACTGGAGGAGAACGAGGCGGCTCTCCTAGGTCAGTCAGCAGGTAGGTGAGCCAGCGTAGCTCCTGTGCAGCCATGGCCCCCGCGTAGATCTCAGCCTCACAGCTGGA